ACGTATTTCACAGTTTGTGTAAAAAGCAGATGCTATAGCTTTAGAATGTAAGGTCTGATACTTATCAAAGTCGAACTCATCCAAAAACTTTTGATCCTAAACACATAGTTTAAGTTTAATCTCATAAATCGGACAAAAATCGTCGCCTCTGAAAGGTCCACAAACTTCTTTCATATTTCAAATTTTGCGTAAAAGGCCGGGGGGGGGGGGGGCAATGCGCACCAAAATTAAACGGTCATAATATAATATTTTACTGTATTGGACGTTAAATTTGTAATAAACAACAACAACGACGGTCCACAGCCTGGCCATTATATGCTTTTATGCTATATGCGAAAAGGAGAGCGGCAATTATTATGAAACGGTGATATATTTGAACGGTTTTGAAAAAAAGATAAAAATGGTGATCTCTAGAGGGCCCACAAGCTAAAAACGTGATATTTCGTACAAACAGGGGTCATAATCCAGACAGTTACGACCTTTAGGATTATCAAATTGGATGAAAATTCGAACCTCTGGGTGGTCCACAAACTGGATACTACATGCTTTTAAGGGTAGCGGCCATTTTGTCAGGCAGTTTCGGTCCCAGCTCTAGTGGGTCCATAAGCTAAAAATGTATATATGGAAGTGACGGCCCCAGAAACCGGGATCTTTCGGTTATAAACATACATTGTCAGTTTCATCAAAATTGTATAAAAATTGTGACCCTGGTATTATTATGCACCACCATCAACTATGTTTGCATGGTAAGGGACTTAGAAAAGAAATAAGATTTCACTTCATTGCTGAGTAATTTTAATAGCCGGGAAGCGCTCAGGAGCAGTGGCGGCGCCAGCCGTCGGTGATTGGAGGGGCAAAGCTGGGGCAAAGTCTAAGGTTAAGGGGGCAAAGGCACGAGCTTCAACTAGGGGTAGGGGGCCTCCCCCAGAAAATTTTGAAAAACAGGTTGCCAGAAATGCAGCCTGGCAGTATTTCAGGCACTGATCGATGAGGTAAAGTGTCAAACGAACGGACTTGCGAATCACGACGAAGCCCACTCACGAGCGTCAAAGTAGGGAGTCCTCCCCCAGAAAATTTTGAAAAATAGACTGCCGGAAATGCTGTCTTACAGTATTCTGTCAGGCACCGATCGTCGAGATAAATAGATCTGCCCAGATACCGTTCGTCGTCTGATCACTAGTTTATATCCGACTCGAGAACAAAATGTCAAACGAACGGACTGCGAACATCAACGAATTAACGAATTCCCCTTGTGAGCGCCAAAGTAGCGAGTCCATTGGGGACCTCGCCAAGAAAATTTTGAAAAATAGACTGTCGGAAATGCTCTACAACATGCAAGTTTATGACTGAGTGGGGATGTGGGATTTATTCACCGTAGAAGGTATTGATTACCGAAACGTATCACAAATACTTTTTTTTATTTTCTAAAATTATTGGGGGGGGGGGGGCGGCAAACAGAGGGCAGACCAGATTAATGGGGGGGGGGGCAAATGCCCCCTTGCCCCCCCCCCCCCCCTGGCGCCGCCACTGCTCAGGAGCTTCGGGGCCTAGCGGCTTCTGGATCCTCGCCTAAAGTCCGAGGAAACTAGCCCCCCAACCCCGGTCCAATCAAGAATTGCTTTCGCCGGCCCTGATGGGGGATGGAACAGTGCGCAAACAAGGAAATACAATGTCGTAATAGAATTTTGGATTGGCTGACCAAGCTAGATGACGAAATGGGGCGGATTGGGCCATCGGGCCATCGGGCGATCGCCCGAAGGGCCGGTCGGACAAAAAATGAAAAAAATAATTTTGTTCAATTCGTCAAAAAAACTTTTTTCTGCTGAACATTATATGGCGGGGGGGGGGGGTATTGGACCGGCCATGGAGCGATGATGATCATGTTGTATATGGTCGGTGGCTTTAACGGGCCGCCACACCATCACTGGAGTCTGGAATGGGCTGGTATAATAGACTTTCTGGGCCGGGTGTGCTGGGTGTGGGCCGAAATTCGGAATCCTGCAATGGGGATCCCGAATTTCATCCGAAAATTTCATGGGATTCACCCGACACTGTCGCCCGCAAATTTACTAATTATTAAGTCACCTGCACCCTGTTTGTGGTTGTAAATTACTTGCAGGTCGGGGTTTTGGCCTAAATTAATCGATTTATGAGATATATTATTTGACAGAGTTTATAATCAGATATGCCACCAAATCGCATATTTGGGGTTGATTTTTCAAATTTTCTCGGGAAGAGCACCCGGAACTCCCGGGTTCCAATCACGATTCACCATCGGCGATACGTGGAGATTTTCAAAAATATCGAGTGACCTCAGACATGTTAGAAAATCGATAAGGCCACCGCTTGTGAAATTAACGCTCTATTAGGTACCTTATTTCATAATAAATAGCAATACAACAATGGTTTTAGGTTTCAAGCAAAGTGGGTACGGCAACTATTTGTCGAATTAGTAAATGAGATGCCAAGTGTAACCAAAGGCGTAGCCGTGAAATATATATTTGGGGGGGGGGGGGGGCGCAAATGAAATTATATAAAATGTTGACAATCTGTGACGCCGGAAGCACGATGTAGCGCGATAGGGAGGGTGTGGGAGGGTCACCCTCACACTGAGGGTGGGGTGGGGGGGGGGGGCTTGGGGGCCACCTCCATAAAAAAAATTTTTAAGTTTCAGTCTTCTGTAAACACTGTTTTGGCATATTTTACGGGGTTAAACTAAAACATCACACCAATACAATGTTTATCATGTTTAAGTCAGGGGGTGCCGTATTCATATTTTTTTTTATGACTTTTACATATTGAATGTTACACTTGAATTATGAACAATACAACAAAGAGGGTTTAGTAGGGGAATTTTTATGAGGAGGTTCCAAATGAAACAAAACTTGATCACATAACTTTAGTTTTAAATGAGGATGCATATTTGACAATCACCTTGTTAACTACAATACTATATACATAATACACATTGAGATTTACAAGAAAGTTGTATAGATATTTAAAGTATTTTGTACATTTTGTGTATTATAAATGGATTTCAAAACGTAAACATAAGTGTTTGTGTTTTAATTTGTACATTGTTTTATACAGATAGAATTTTAACTAATCCTAATAATTGTTGTAAATAAATAGGAGTTAGGGCCTACTATGTAATTTTTTTTTAAGTTTTTTTTTTTGGGGGGGGGGGTCCAAGTAAATTCTGGAGTAGGAATCCAGGGGATTTTGTGTTCTGAAGTGGTATTTTATTTGCTTTGGGACCATACTCAATCAGCTGAAAAAGGAATCAAAGAAGTTGTCCGTCATATTTGAAATAAACCTGCCTATCGGAGTCACTAGGGGATGTTCTGAAGTACAGAAACCAGGTGATATACTCTCCTGAGGGCACTTTTTATTTATAGGTCAATTGTGACATCATGCTCACGAAAAAAGAATTTTGTCAGTGAAACAAATCAATCTTTTACCGGGATTTCACGATGTGTTCAGCTTGGAACCCGTTCTGGAGTATAGGAACCCAGGGGATATTTTGTTCCGAAGTGGTGTTTTATTTACTTTGGGACCATACCCTATCAGCTGAAACATGAATCAAAGTTGTCCTTCATATTTGAAATACACCTGTCTATTGGGGTCAGTAGAGAGCATTCTGAAGTACAGAAACCAAGTGATATTTTCTTCTGAAGGGCACATCTTATTTTAGGGTCAATTGTGGCACCATTCCCACCAAAGAAGAATCCTGCTGAAACAAGTCAGTCTTCTATCGGGATTTCATGGTTTGTTCATCTTGGAACCCGTTCTGGAGTATGGGAGCCCAGGGGATTTTTTGTTCTGAAGTGGTGTTTTATTTACTTTGGGGCCATACCCTATCAGTTGAAATAGGAGTCAAAGTTGTCCGTCATATTTGAAATACACCTGTCTATCTGGGTCAGTAGGGGGCGTTCTGAAGTACAGAAACCAGGTGATATTTTGTTCTGAAGGGCACATCTTATTTAAAGGTCAATTGTGGCACCATTATCACGAAAGGAGAATCCTGTCCGTCATATTTGAAACAAATCAGACTTCTATCGGAATTTCGTGATGTGTTCATCTTGGAACCCGTTCTGGAGTAGGAACCCAGAGGATTATTTGTTCTGAAGTTGTGTTTTATTTACTTTAGGACAATACCCTATCAGATGAAAAGGAAATCAAAGTTGTCCGTCATAATTTTATGTGAAATAAACCTACGTACTCGGGTCACTAGTGGGCGTTCTGAAGTCAGAAGCCGAGTGAATTTTTGTTCTGAAGGACACATCTTATTTAAAGGTCAATTGTGACACCATTATCACGAAAGAAGAATCCTGTCCGCCATACTTGAAACAAATCAGTCTTCTATCGGAATTTCGTGATGTGTTCATATGACATAGCGAAGATTAACTTTGTCCGCAAAAATTTCAATTAAACCGACTTTTTCCGCGATTTCGGCGGCGTACAACCTCTAAACCCCAGGGTATGTGCAACTTAAGAATTCCCATTCTGGTCATCGACCATCATGGTGCCTCCGTTAGGCATAGTGGCAATTTTGTCCGCGAGTTTTGGAACAACGGTCAGCTAGCTTCCCGACAAAGATGGTAAATGATACAAAGGGGCGAGCCATTTGCACTTTCTTTTCTTTTCTCAGTGTTCCTTTCTTTAACTACTTCAATGGCGTGTGGAAATTTTGGCCGCCTGTTGGCATGAATAAAATTTTAAAACAAGAAGCTAAGAGTTTCTGTGTCGAAAACTGTGATGAGTGGAATAATATGTTAATACTTTTTATTTATCTTGTAAAATGACGACCATCGTCTAATAATTGCAGCTTAATTAAACATTGGTATCTATTTATTATATTTTATTGTTTGCTGTAGGCCTATGTGTGTGTTAGTTGTATTTTACGTCCGCTTCCACCGAGGTGATATCGCTTTTGCTGTAAATAGTGGTCTCCCAGGAGGACGACGCATTAAATGGATTTGTCTCCCTTGAATGCAGATGGCGTTCTTTTAGAGGCGAAAGGTATCGGCCATTTTGTGAACTTGTGTAGGTAGTGATAACCATCGAAAACGTTTAAAACGTGGAACAACTCATAGTTTTCTGTAAGTGCCCTTATTTGTCGTTCACAACACACATATAAAGCTTCACAGTAACTAGTCAAGCTTTATTTCTTCGATATTTTGCCGAAAATTTTCAAATAAACGAATGAAAACAGAAAAGGAAATTCGATTTATCATTTTTCTGCAATGACGACTTGACTGGACATCAAAACAATAGGCCTAATGTATTTGATGAGTCATATGTTTATCTTTTTAATGATTTAAATAAATAAAAAACGTGGTATACCAATACTTTATTTTAATGAAGATTTTATAGGCCTTGTATTTGATGTCTGACTCTTGATCTATAATGACTATAAAAGATAACATGACACATTCTTGTTTTGGTTGGAAACGTCATTATCTATGATGATCTTCATAGCTAATATTTTACCTTCAAAATCATGTCTAAAAATAAAGTTAATGGTAAATGATTACATTTTATTTTGCAGTGTGTATCAGTTGTGTTGATTTGTTTTCCTGCTGTGGAACATCAGTTTGAATACAGTAAAAGAAGTCTGTTTGGCACATACAGAAAGGGGGTGGAACCGATTGAAGAATATCATTAATCCATCTTATATAAAATACCATGTAAGTTGTATTGATCGGTAATGTTGCATGTTATAGGAACCAGCATGTAATTGGCGTGATTTGACACACCCATATGTTATTGTACTAAGTGTTGCAATGGTTTGAAAAAATCTGTAGTGTCAATATCAAATCTTAAGGGGTAAGTCAGTTAAACCCAGATAAAAAGGTATATTAACAATATCAATTTATCATATTATTTGTAGTGTCAATTATTCTGCCCCCAGTTCGTAAGTCTCATCATAGTATGATAGGTTAATTATTTTTATAAAAATGTACTGCCATAGCAAACATAAGTTTACCGTCCGGAATAAATGATGGTCTATCACAAATGTTAGCAATCTTTAGGGCTCCATGTGCTAATTATCCATATGACTTCAGATACCTCAAAAGATAAATTAAGACTGATGGTTATATTCGTTATTTAACAACACAAAACTTGATTTTGTAGGCTTATTGATTTTGCTAAGCTGCTGATATTTGAATGGGTTATAGACATAACAGCCCTAAACCATAACGGCCAAAATAATTGGTCATAACAGCCAAAAAATTTGGTCATAACGGCCAATCAAATTGGTCGTAACGGCCCAAAAAAACATACCATTTACGAAATGATATTTATTAACATAAATATTGCATAATACTATATATAGTACATGTATCATAATTTATACATACATTACATAAACATTAATTTAATACGTAAATTTACATAGACATTTAACATAATACAAACTATAATATTTCACATACATAATACATTGTATAAAACATACAAACTATAAAATGTATTTCAATAATATTTCACATACAACATAATACATCTAAATACATAATTTACAGTGTTGATAAAAGGGCTTTTTTACGATTTTAAAGTCCCATCAATAAACCATTGTCCAGATTTAGCAAGCAAAACCAACTGTCGCGTGGTTGAAAACATGTATTTCTCCTTTCACTTTTATATCGGCACGTAAAAAATCATCAGGTATTGCATCTTCATTTACCTATAAAATAAATTTGTAAATATAGCTTAACCTAAAATATATTTGTAAATATAGCTTAACCTAAAATATATTTGTAAATATAGCTTAACCTAAAATATATTTTGTAATATTACAAATTTTGTTATATTGTAACATGATATTGTAATTTGTAATTATAACTTTCAACACAAAAAAATAACTGAGAAATTTTCTAACGCAATACATGTTTTTTTCTCTTATTCTGTTAGCTGCTCTATCTGGATTTTCTCTGAATGGATTGGAAATGAGCATTTCTTTTACCTTTAGTTGTTGAAAAATAAATGATTACTGTTTATCTCGTACATGTATATCACCTAATCAGATCAGAGGGTGTGAAGTACCTAATTAGGGATTATCCAATCAGTTGATTAATATTAGTACTCACCTCTTTCCCTTGAATTACAATTACACTTTACAGCATGTAATTTTCCGGGTTGGCTTGGGTTGTTATGCCTCCAGGACACATTGTTTGTATAACTGTAGCACTACATAGATGTTTTATTTAAATAATTGTTTTTCATTAAATTAAAAATGTTTGGCTGTTACGACTAAATGTTTTGGCCATTATGACCAAATTTATTCGCTGTTATGACCAAATTGTTTGGCCGTTATCATGACTAAAGTATGTCCGTTTTGACCAAACCTGTTTTTGGCATAGGACCTTTATGACCACATCCCATTTGAACCAACTGATACCTGACCATGTGTATAGATTTATTGAATGTTTAACACACTAGCAGTTCAAAGCTTTTGTTTACCATTTTTATGCATTTACATGTATATTGAAATACAAAATGAAGTACTGTCACACTCACAGTACAAATATTTTGGCAACTTGCATGTTACCTGCCATCCTTGGTATAGTCCGTGGTCTCATTCCGTTCTACTCCACTAACCCTCATAAGATAAAGTAAGCAAAATGAAATGGCTCCCCTTCAAGAGACAAGGTTAGGAATTAGCCAGAAGATAGCCTAAACGAGAGAAGTCCAGATTATACGAAATGCATATTTATTAACATCAAATTACAATTTTATATATAAATAATATAAGAATGAAGACCAGACGTTTTTATATATATATGTAGGTTCAAGAGTTTTATTGAGAAGTATGTGTGAAATAGTTTTATTTAACGCCCGCTTCAACCAAGGTGATATCACAGACAAGTTTTATTGAGAAGCAAACTGCCAAATAAAAGTTCAGTAATAATGAACATAACAGAATGAAACATTTCAGACAAAGAACGAATAGTAATAATAATAAAAGTCAAACATATGGATGTTATACATATTTGAAATGAGCAAAACACAGATTTTGATAATACAATTAAATATAAATGAATTAGAAATATACATTATTTACATAAATCATTCAGTAAATGAACATGAATATGGTAATCTACCTTTATAATAACAAAAGCGAAACAACTGGTTTGCAAACTGTTTTTATACGACCCCATTTCAATATTGTCGGTCCGGCGTCCACGATTGCTCGTGGACGCTCTAGAGGCGAAAGTTAATATCCAATTGACTTTAAATTTAGACACAGTGTTTAAGGTCATGAGACGAAGAAACCTATTGACACTCTAGAGGCTAAAGTTAATATTCATTTGACTTTAAATCTATACACAATGTTTAAGGTCATGAGATGAAGAATGATTTTCAGCGATTTCTGATAATTACTGCCAGAGTTATGGCCCTTGATAACTTTGAAATATCTTGTGGACAGTAGAGGCTAAAGTTAATATCTGATTGACTTTGAATTTATGCACAGTTTTTAAGGTCATGAGATGAAGAAACCTATTGATATTCAGTGTTTTCCGATAGTTACTGCCAGAGTTATGGCCCTTGATCTCTTTGAAATATCTTGTTATACACAGTGTTTTAGGTCATGAGACATAGAAGCCTATTGAATTGTAGCAATTTCCAATAATTACTGCCAGAGTTATGGCCCTTGGTCACTTTAAAAAATCTAGAGGCTAATGTTAATATCCGATTGACTTTAAAGTTTAAATTTTTATGCACATGAGACGAAGAAGCCTGTTGATTTTCAACTACCATATGTTCGTTAATTACTGCCTCAGTTATAGCCCTTGATCTCTTTGAAAAATTTGGTAGAGGCTCAAGTTAATATCTGATTGACTTCAAACTTACTATACACAGTGTTTAAGGTCATGAAACAAAGCATCCTACTCATTTTCAACGATTTGCAATAATTACTGCCAGAGTTAAGGCCCTTGATCACTCTGAAAAATATTGTGGACGCACTAGAGGCTAAAAAAACTCCATTACATTCATTCATTCAATCTAGAAGCTAAAGTTAATAGAAATTATTTAAAGTCATGAGACAAACAATCGAAACAAATTCTAATGTTTTCTGATCATTACTTCATGGGTTATTACTCGTAATCAGATCTTCATGTGTTGTAAATGTTCTCGTTACTGACGAAAGAAAAAATATGCGACAACACTTGCTGACTGTCCAGACGTCTTAGCTGCTGTGGGCATATGTTTCATTGCCTGAAAACCTATCTTTTGATTTGTTCGTAGACTTTAGCTACAATCAAGGTCAGGGTAGATAATTTGAAATTGTGGAAACCCTATGGATTAACCCAGGGTTTAGTGGAGTAGAACAGAATAAGACCACTGGGGATACCGAGGATGGTTACTTGCCTGGCCAACTTCTGATGAATTTTAATTTGATTTTATTTTCAGCCACAAAGCAGCAGACATGGCTGCCGGACCATATAATTACAGTTATATATTTAAATATATTATTATTGGTGATATGGGGGTAGGAAAATCATGTTTATTACATCAGTTCACAGAGAAGAAATGTAAGTTGAATCTGAAGTTCCAGCTTGGAACTATTTCTGTGATTTTTAAAAAAATAAATAAATGATTAAGGATGATAGGTAAATTATTCAATCTAAGTCTCTTCTAAACTTACACATCTGTCTTCAATCATGAAAACTATTTAATGGCTTTAGTAGTAATTAATTTTAAGTGTAATTATGTGCATAATATCTTTTATTACTGAAATATTAGTTGTAATTAGAAGTAGTCTAATGTATAATTAAGACACGGGAACTGCACAATTTATAATGGTATATGTATGATTATTATTTCAGTTATGGCAGATTGCCCACACACAATAGGAGTAGAATTTGGAACAAGGTACTAACTGGGTTTTTTCTCTCATAATTATATGTACGCATGTCATATTAGTAAGGTCAAATTTCAGAATAACCCTAAGAAAATGTTTATTGCATTTCCCATAGTATTTTCCCCGGTTGTACGTGACAAGGAGTAGGGTCGCCTGTCCAACCTCCGGTTTCCTCCCAATGCTAAAGATCCCTACGCGCAATTAAATTGTTGAAATAAAAATTGAACAATGTGTTAGTCGTGAAATGACCTAGTTTGTGTTGAATGGAGGTTAAACTCCATTTCTCTCTCTCTCTAGTACACAAAGCCGTTGGATAAATTCTTTCATACTGAACAGTACGTTGTAACCCAATTCACGCCACATGGCTAATTGTTTACATCACATGGTTTAATAATATAAGACATATAGAAATAGATTATACTAAAATTAACATACTTATATGGATATACTACTTCTGAAGGTACATTTCAATGCACATACAGGTATCGCTATCAAAGCAAATAAATCTTGCTTGATAGCGATACCTGTATGTGTATTGAAACGTAGCATGTTAATAAAATTCAGAAGTAGTATATAAGTGTGTTAATTTTATCACATGGTTTGTTTCTCAACTTGCAAGTGACATGTAGGTATTTCATCTGCTTTGATGTTTTTGTGCTTGCTGACAGTGTTTTTCAACATAAACAGACCAAAATTGTGGGCATGTGAGACATAATATAGTGCATTTTGGCACATGATGTCAACGTAAACGACTTTTCCTTTTTTTTTTCCATTTCCTCTTGGCTGGGCTCAAATCTGTATACGGCATTACTATAGCGATATCTGATATTCTGATACCTTGGTGACTGACGTTGACACACTTTGGAAATTTATATATTTATTTGAATATATATGTGCCACAAGTCCGTTGAAATATTTAAAAACACTGTCGGCAGACCCAGCACGCACAAATACATTCAAGCAGATGAAATATCTCTCACTTTCCGAGTGTCAAACAAACCACGTGATGTAAACAATTAGCAGGCATTTTTTTTTCTGTTTGTTTGAGCAAATTCTGCTATTTCAGTCGTTCCGCTATAGCTTAATAGTTGTAGTTAACCGATGTCAACAACAATTTATACCTTGAAAATAGTTTAAACCGTTGGTTGAAATTTTGAACTACACTGTACTAGACTTTCGAATAACAGCACGTTTTGGTTATTTGTCTGTATAATTTCGCACACTTTTGTATGGATTGGAGGACAACAAAATAATAAGGAAAAAAATTATTTTGATAAAGCTTGCTGGATTTGAAAGAAGAACTATATTATTTTTAAAACTACTAATTTATATATGTTAAACATTCATATTCCACAATGTAAGTTTACATGTATTATTACAGTTTGTAATGTAAATGTAAGTAAGCAAACAAGTGATATCCATTTGAATAAATAATCTAAAACTTTCACACATCCTGTGGAGGATGTTTTTTTCCACTTTCTCTCTTGTTCTTTAATAAACCACCTCTGTAATATAAAAAGATTTTTGATTTATACATATTATAGATGATGTATCTGATTCTGAAACATAGATGGGTTTTTTCTTTTTTTTACAGAATAATTGAAGTAGCCGGTCAAAAGATTAAATTACAGATTTGGGATACAGCTGGTCAAGAAAGATTTCGAGCTGTAACTAGAAGCTATTATAGAGGTGCTGCTGGCGCTTTAATGGTTTACGATATAACAAGGTTTGTTTTATGTTTAGCAACATGATCCCTTTGACAAAATAAAAACATTCCTTCTGCATCAGATTTTTTTTAAGGATTGTCTGGGAATTAGAATGATTTTTATATGCCCACATTATGTCATTGCTCCTGTCCGTCAGTCAACAATTAGCTTGTGAATGCGATAGAGGCTGCACGTGTAAACAAATGCTTTTGAAACTTGGTGTGAAGCACCATGAGAGAGACTAACCCTATCAATAATCAGCATTCCGCGATCTTCCATTCTGGAGTTACCCCCACTTTGCTGAAAACCTTGCAAACACAGTAGAGGCTACAGATTTAATCGTTTCAAGCTTGTGAAAACGATAGAGATCAGATTTTTTCAAAGCACAAAGGATCCTTAAAAAATTTGGTCAATATCCAAGTTTTCCTTTCAGACAAGATGCTGTGAGGGGCTCTCTTTTTTTTTGTATGGCCTAACATATTAATGGAAATTTCTGGTATGGGAGCATATGTGTATATAAATGAAATTTACTCTAAATTTAATCTACAGGAGAAGTACATATAATCATTTAAGCAGTTGGTTGACAGATGCTAGAAATCTTACTAATCCTAATACAGTAAGTATTGTTATCAGATAATGTTCAATATCAATCTATTTTAGTTTTCAGTTGACTTGACCTGGGCTTCCACTTAAAATTTCTGACTGACAAAGCACAGAAACTTTGTAAATTAGATTCATATTATTATTAAATACGACAATGGATCTGACCCGATTGCCTTTATTTCTAAAAAGATCTAAAAATTTGCTTACACTGATTGTGATCGTAATACAGCTGTAGTAGCTTTGTTCTAGAAAATTCTTATGTCACGTAAACAATATGTGGGTGCACAAATAGAGAATGATAAGATTCTCACATAACAATAACTTTAATTGTTCTACTACTATCAGAAATTCATTATTAATTCATTATTAACATTCAATATAATCCTCTGTTGATGGCTATAACACCAATCATGAGATACTGTGGCTTCTAGGGGGGTTGTATGGCCGAATGGTTAGCACGTGCACGCTGCGCTGTATCATACGGTCTGTCATTGAGTCAACTGGCGGGGTTTCGATTCCCCGGTTGTACGTGACAAGGAGTAGGTTCTCCTGTCCAACCTCATGGGTTTTCCCCGGGTCCTCCGGTTTCCTCACACTGCCAAAGACCCCTACGTGCAAGCGAATTCGAATTATTGAAATAAAATTGAACCATGTGTTAGTCCCGAAATGACTTAGTTTGTGTCGAGTGAACGTTAAACCCCATCTCTCTCTCTCTCTCTGTGGCTTCTACACCTGTTCACTAATCTGTATGGGCGGTTGTATAATTGTACCCTGTCTGTCCGTCTGTTTGGGACACAATAACTTTCCTTCTAATTGAGCTAGAATGTTCAAACTGGATATAGGTGTTTATTAGGTGAATGTCTTGATGGAGTTTGAAGATGAGCATATTGGTAAGCAGACATATGCGATTTAATTGGTTGATGCTTTGGGACACAATAAATTTAGTTCTAATTAAGTGATAGTGATTAAACCTAGTGTATAGTTTTATTACATCAGTACCTTGACTAAGTTTGATAATGAGCATTTTCTGCTCAGGGTAAGCAGAGCGATAAGCAATTTGATTGGTCAAGACTTTGGAACATAACAACTCTGCTTTTAATTGAGATGTTCATTAGGCGAATGTCTTGACTGAGGTCAATGATTAATATTTCACGTTAAAGCTAAGCAGAGCTAAGCAATTTCATTGGTCGGTGCTTTGAGACAAGATAACTTTGATTCGAACTGATGGAGAGTGATGAAAGTTAGTGTATAGTATCACTACCAGTATCAGGTACGTCAAAACCTGACCTGAGTTAGATCGTGAACATTTTATGCTTAGACTAAGCATTGATAATCAGTTTGATTACTCGATACGTTTGAAAAAGTAAAATGTGCAATTAATTAATATGTGTCATCTGTTTATTTTGGGATTTCGGCAGGGGACATCAGCCTTACTGTTAAATTGTATAGTTAAGTAGAGGCTAGAGGCGATCGATTGTAACCATGTATGAAAATGGGGTTTTAATAAGTAGACTAGTTTTGAATTGATCTCTGGGTCCCAACATTTATCCATAACAATGATATTTATCTACATTAGGCTATATTTTTAATCAGTGACAATAATATTTATCTACGTAAGGTTGTATTTTTAATCAGTGACAATGATATTTATCTACATAAGGTTGTATTTTTAATCGGTAACAATGACATTTATCTATATTAGGTTATATTTATGATAGTAACAATGATGGTTATCTACATTAGATTATGTTTTTGATCAGTAACAATTTTGTTGATCTTTATGAGGTTATACTTGTGATTAGTAACAATGCTGGTTATCTACATTAGATTATGTTTTTGGTCAGTAACAATGATGTTGACCTTCTTTAGGTTATACCTTTGATCAGTAACAATGATGGTTATCTACATTAGATTATATTTTTGATCGATAACAATGTTGATCTCCATTAGGTTATACTTATTGATCGGTAAGAAATGTATACTTTTGATAATTATATTAATCTTTTTCAGGTTATATTTTTGATTGGTAATAAATGTGATTTGGATGCTCAGAGAGATGTAACATTTGAAGAAGCTAAACAGTTTGCAGATGAAAATGGTAATTATTATTTATGTAGGCACTATTTAGAGGCCAGAATTAGGTCACCAAAAGTCATTTTTAAGCTTAAAGAAATACGGTCAATAAGCTTCCATTCCCTTTGATAGATTTCAACTACGAATATTTTTATGTTATGTAGCACTTTGTGTTATGAATACAAAAGCAAAGGTGTGCCTCGCTATTTTTCATTCAGAATTAACTAACTCATGAATCAATCAAATATGTGATTAGAAACTCACTGTCACTGTATAAGGATATCTATAACTCCAAATACAACATCATTAAAAATTGCAAACGCTCAAGTTCGTGTACGGTTTATTTCTAAGGCGAAAATACAGAAGAGTTAAACACTGTGTGATCTAAGAATCAAATTGTTGACGGGAGTAAAAGAGTGCTATTGAATATGCTGACGCTATTTCACATTTTGTAGGTTTATGATTTGCTTTTAATATTTTTCGTCTATTCCATGTAGATTATGGTAAATGTAGTAAACTATATAATTATAAAGTTGTTTTTGTTGAGTTTCCCTTTTGTTGTAAACCACATTTCTGTGAAGCAGACTTTAGTTTTGATCCTTTTGTATTTGATAATCCCCATACTTCACTGTTTCAACCCTGAGAACAAAAGCAGGGGGCATAACAAGATGACCCTAATCGAGATGTGTAGTAGTTATACACTCAGTACAGTCAATATATTTTGAAATTTTGAATATTATTCACCATATCTTGATGTCCGATTGGGTATATACCTGGTCGGACAATTGGAAAATTGCGTAGGACATGTCGGGAATATATACAAGCAAAGTAGCATCCATGATTTGTTCCAAAAATGATTTTCTCGAACCAAATTGAAAACAATTCCTCTTTTGTTTTGCCTTATCTCCGAAGAGACATATTTTTGTGTGATTTATTAGTAATAGATAATAGTTAATGTTTATTTTAAATTTATTAAACACACTGAAAATTCACAGTATTTGATGTGAGTCAAGAATATATCATGCTTTTCTCTGTCTGACAGGTTTGATGTTCTTAGAATGTAGTGCTAAGACGTAAGTTTTTATTATTATGTTAAAATATTATTGAAAATCATCTATATTAGAAATAATAGGACAGTTTTGGTGTTAAATTTTCATTAAATAAAATACTTAAACATTTACAGGTCACAAATCAGCTTGTTAGGCTTTTAGACTGTAATGTGTAATTACTATTTAATCTCCTAACTCTGAATATGATATTAGCGATGACAGTCTGCTGTCTCCTCTCCTAGTGGACATGGCCAATTGGTAGGTCATGGCTGAAAGGATGAAAGGACAGCATAATGAATTGTTATTTAAAATGTAGTAACATCGGTTTTTCTTTTTTAGAGGTGAAAATGTAGAAGATGCCTTTTTAGATACGGCAAAGAAAATTTATCAGAATATTCAGGATGGCAGGTAAGATGGACATCAATATTAATAATTATGAAAACCATGCTTTAAGAGAGTTTGCAGTAAATTGTACAGCCCTACATGGGCCTTGACACCTGAAAATCACACTGAAGTGATAAAATGTGTTCGCCATATATTTAGCAGGAGCTATTTAACACCACCAAATTTCTATCTTGAGACAATGCTTGTTATAACTATTTTACATTAAATTTAAAGTGTACAAATAAACACTTGATGTATTATGCTGGCGCCTCTGTCCGTCCAGACATCTGTCTGTCCAGACTCGCTTGTGTTTCTTCACCTCAGAATCGCTTGTTAAATTGATAATTCTACATCTGGGAATAGAAAAATGGAACAGCGATGTGATGGTGAAACTGTTTATAAGGTTGTTCCCCCCCCCCCCCCCCCCCCCCCAAGCTTTGTCAGTTATTTCGCTATTGATAGGCAATCTATTTCCAGATGCTATCTTTTATAACAGTCTTTGTTGGAGACATGATTCGAAATTTGAACAACTACAATAAATAAGGCCCTCCCCGACAAATGATCCATTGTGCGTGGGCCCCTTTAATTAACCTCAAAATTGTTCAACATTTCACTGTCTCTTAACCATTGACACCAGTTATTTCATTTACTTAGTTATATATTTGTATTTGTGTTCCAGCTTGGATCTGAATGCTGCAGAATCAGGTGTTCAGCATAAACCTGCCACACCTCGTAATCCACTCAACACTGATCAGACACCAAATAAGGAAGGCTGTGCTTGCTAGTTGTTCATATTCATTGGTTATTTGTATTTGTGGGTGGGCTAGACAAATCAGGGTTTAACATCCAGTGATTATTGGTGGATTATCTCCCCTTGATGTCTGGTTCTGCCAAGTGAAAAGAAAAAGCCATTCCACATCTGCCTCTATTTATAGCGAATCAATCACAGTGTATTTTATTAGAAATTTCTTCATCTTCTTTATAATCACCACAAGTAGTACTAACGCAGATGAACTATTCATCTTTTACAATTTTAATTTCATTTTATTTAAAAATTGTCATTGAAAATCGTTCACCAAAGACTAACTTTAATTCTCATAAATCATGGCTTTTATACACTGTCTCTTCACTAAATAGCTGTTATATATAGGGTAGACATTTACAATAACTACTCATCTTAAACTGTATAATTTTCAGTATTCCTACATGAAAAAAAAATATCCATATATCTGTTTCCTACTTGTTGTGATTGTATCGTGATGACTTAAAATATTTGTCAACTTTGTTCATCCAAATTGCTAAAGCTTTAGCTGTACTTAGGGTTGCAACGATACATGAACAATAAGTCTTCGATGATATTACAAAATTTGATTCAATTTGACTGAAAATTGAAAGCAATACCTATTTACATTACTTCTGGAAAAAAAAATAAATTGGTTACTAGCTTCATCAAAAATATTTGAAACATATTGTAGTATCACGATAAAAAGAAATTTGCTTGGCGTTACACGTGATATACGAAGTTATTATTTTGTTTATCGCTGCAACCTTAACTGTGATATGATGTCCTTATAAAAAATGGACATCGTGATGTGTTATTTTAATTATCGTAAATTAATGATTTGAATATTTGTCTGACTATATATTAATGCCATTAAATTCTCCTTTTGACCAGAAAAACAATATTATATACGAAATTGGCTTCGTTTGATGTATTTATAAAAAATTGACAGTATTGGCTGTTAATAATTTAATGTTAATATTTTAGAGAAAGTAAGAATATTGTCATGTTGTGCTAGCGGTGGTATAATGATTTGTAATTTATTGTCAACATGATTAACTACCTGTTATAGATTCCATAAAACATATTTCTCTTCCTTCAAAACTTTCGAAGCATATGATTTATTTGTTTTAGTAACTATGCTCCGACAGAGTATATTATAATTCTTTAATATACCGGTAATTATCATGTAAATACTGTTCATATCACAAATATCAATGTATTTTTAACCGATTCCTTCTCCAATGTAAAACCCTTCAAGTTTGATATTCAAGCTGTTTAGATATAGTAATATTTCATTTAATTACTTATAATAGTATCAACAATTTTAAACCATCAATATTATTTAGAACAGTTTTTTTTAATACATTTGTAATTATTTTCAGTAAAGTGTAAAATTATTTGATTGACACCAATGTATTGTTATTTTTAAAAATGTTCTTCGACTGTACAAAAATTTGGAAGAAATCTGGGACCAACCTTTGCGGATTTTGATCTTTGGCACAACTGAAAAACCAATTTTGGGAGTTTTATTTTTTCATTTGGCTCGAAATATGAACTAAATTTACTTGGTTGTTTAGCAAAGGGATTTTAGTGAATGTATACTATGTATTGTAAGAGACAAACTTTGAGATGAGACAAGATTGATATTAGATTTAAAGGAATAGAATTAAAAAATTTGATGTAATATATCATGCATTAAAACTACTGTATTCTACAGAATAAGCACCCTTGGGTTACTAGTCACAAAAAAATGGTAATTCCAAAATTAGAGTACTGTTAATCAGTGACAGGGATTCCAGTTAGAATTATAATGTCAAAGACATAATTCAGAATTTGACAGAAACAGGAATTATAACTTGTAAAACTTGGCACATTTTTTCATGCTGTAAACTTTTAAGTAATAAAACAAAGTGTGTGCACTATAAGATTAAAGTAGAAGTGGTTTTTTTTGGTTGAATATGGTATTTGTAATTTATAAAACTGGGCATGTTCCACATTATAAATAAAACTGTAATAAATTGGTGTTATTTTAATATTGATTAAAAAGATGTAATACATATGTTCATTATAATATTTTATTCATTCTATTTAACTCTAGGATGATACAGATAGTATAGAAGAAGGCAGATAATGTAATGAAGAATATCATCTAAAATTAAAGTCTTGAATGGGGTTGATTCTATTTAGAAACTTTCAGTACTCCACATTCTGTGTAGTTTAAAAGGTCGCGAAGAGGATATTAAGTAATATATAATCTGAGTGTTGTATTAATATATTATAAAATGTCTTGCTCGAGACATTTAAAAAAAACCTTAAAATACTGATTACTCTATCATACACATGCATTTCTATGAAATTGTTGTGTGATGGCCATTTTCTATTTTTGATTAAGCATCTTTACTTTAATGGGGCATTATGTAAAATTAGATATAGATCTGACAGTTCTCGCTATAATAGTTACAAAATAGGTAATGAAAAGGGGATAGCTTGAAAGTTTTAGTCAAATTACTGAGCTGAGTTATTGCAATAAGAAGATAAACAAAGTCTTGACTATCCATTTTTGAATTAAATCATTAAATGGGCGAACTGTTCTAATCTACTTAAAATCAGAGCCATCCGATGGCACTGAGAGTTGATTATGGTCTTGGTAAGTTAATGTCTAATTAAAATTTTATATAACATTTAAGGCCAAAAGAAGGACCAGCAATAGGCAGGTTTAACTCTTGCATAATGCCTGTTTAAGTATGGTTAATATTTGGCTTATGATTGGACAAATATTTGTGGAGACATGTTTTAAGATAGAAACATACAATATGACGGTAGAAGAAAGTGACCAAAACATGTTACGACATGTGTACAATGAGAATTACAATAAACTGTATGAATTGGCATATTATATAACAAGCATTGTTATTATGGTGTATCATCCTAGATGTAGTATATAAGTATGTATGTTTATATATATCATTAGATATATGAGGTGTGAAACCAGTACGTAGCTCAACAGGTATAATAAGTACAATATTGGCACATATTTATAGTAAATGTATATTGTATAAAATAATAACATTTCTTATTGTAAATATGTAATTTGATTTTGTGAACCCACTTACAAACCGTTTTATTCTATATTCATTTGCTTTAGTTATTGTTTTATAGAAATTTGTATAATTTTAATGAAAGACGCTTTGTAATTGTTGGTAGTCTTATACCTCGATCTCCTAAAGCTCACATAATATTCAAGTTTGGGGTAATACTATTTAGTATGGGTTTATTTGGCTCATGATTGAAGTTTGACTGTGTATAAGGCTACACCAATTTGAATTTTATTTCTTGAACACATTAAAACTTTGCTATCTATATCTTATGGTAGGAAGGAATTTAAGAATGAAAACAAAAGTACTTAGTTAGTCTTTTCAAATCTATTAGCTCAAAGTTTTTATGATTTTGAAATGTTAATACATACACTCACCTAAAGTGTATCAAGATTCAGAAGGACTAAAAAATTAAATTGATTTGGCCTCCAAGTACACTTGTTAATGAATTGATGTGAAAAGATTGTTATTGATTGGCTGTGTGATCATTGGCACGTGTTACATATCACTATAATCAGGAACCACAAGTTAATGGCATGAAATTATATATCCCACCCCCCTCAATTAAAAAGCATGACAATAGTAAAAATCTAATTCATCCCAAGACAGATTCAAAATCTTATTTGGTTTGACAATTCGATTTTAAATTTCATTCATATAATTAGAAAAGTTTGGTACAATGTTCTTTTTAACATTTGATAGATTTTCTAAATTATTGGATTTTTCATTTATCAAAACAGTTTATATTTACTATGACTACCAATTTTTCAAGCAAGTGTAAGGAGAACTGAAAAGATTCAGTGTTCTGTAACATATTGTTGGTTTATTTTTAAGTTATTTTATAATAATACATTGCAAATGATAACTGTTAAATTAGACTTAGTAATTATTTGTTTGTTATTAGCTTAAAACTTCTTACATTTCCTGTCAATTATCAGTTATTATTTCTAATATTTATATAAGCAATTGTACATAGCTTTATTTAGTCTGTGATGTGTCTGGAGAATCTGTGGAGACAAAATATATTTTGTAATTATTAGAAAATTTGATGAACACCTTTTAAGAATTTAACAGGCAGAGAAATAGTAATAGCATAACAAAGCCCAACGCTTGATTATAAGTTCAGCAGTGCATGGTATCTTCTTAGTAATTAGAATCAGTGGATGGCATTATGATAATAGTGTCAATTTAGATTTTAATTGGAATATTGATGAAGGTTATAGTAATGATCACTATTCAACTGAACTGCAATCATGAAAGCAATGCAATTTATTCTTGAATTATATTTAAAGGAGAAAGATTGATTTTGATGATCAAAATACAGTACATAAACCATTTAGAGAAACAGAAATATTGTATATTATTTGATACTCACTGTTTTTATTTATAAGGAAAGCACAGATATTATGTATATTTTATGTTGTGAATAGTCTGTATTGGTTGATGCAACAGCAGAATTACATAAAAACTTTATGAAATAGTTTTTGGGGCGCAAGAGAGACATAATAAAAATGATGTATATATATATACTATGAAAGTGTTGGGTTTTTATCTGGACAGGGGGGTTGGATGGCTGAATGGTTAGCGTGCGCGCGCTGTATCATAAAGTCTGTCATTGAGTCAACTGGCGTGGTTTCCAATCCCCGGTTGTACGTGGCAGGGAGTAGGGTCGCCTGTCCAACCTCGTGGGTTTTCTCCGGGTCCTCCGGTTTCCTCCCACTGCTAAAGACCCCTACGCGCAAGCGAATTAATTAAATAAAATTAAACCATATGTTAGTCCCGAAATGACCTAGTTTGTGTCGAGTGGACGTTAAACCCCATTTCTCTCTCTCTCTCTCTTTATCTGGACAGGGTTACCATCGAATTACAACTGCTAAGGGTTTGTTTATGTGTGCACCAATGTGTATATTATAATAATTGAGACAGGGATTATCTCATGCAATGACAGTGCAATACTGCAAGTAGATTGGGCTGGGGACCAAGATTTTGGAATGTCTAGTGCCTGATTATAATATATGTGTGTGTGTGTATATAAAGGTGGACGTTATTTTGTTCCTCCATCCTAGAATGTGGCACATTTGAAAATCCTCAACAACATGACAATAATTTATTTGCCCAACAAGTTCTGATCAGTCACAAGTCTTTATTACTGAAATGAGTTTACATTATTGAACCCCAATCAAATATACAGACTGACATAACACCGAATCTAGTCGATGAAGAACTACATGTATTGGTAGTATAGTAATTAATGGATACAATGATGGGTGTAGTTTCATTTCTAACCCTATTAATTATCTACTTTAATACCAGGTAAGTTAAATATCTGTTTAAATTTTCAATCATTGAAGAAAAGGGTTTAACAAGTATGTATAGAGTGGGTCTTTTTATTGGATAATTTTTAAAAAAAAACATGAATTCATATTTTCCAACAAATTAAATGTTTTTCCTTGGTAGCTCTCTCATAATACCATTAATACTTACTGGGTTCAAGACTCCTTTCACTTCCTGTTGCCATTGCTACAGACTTTTCATATATTTTATGAGATGAAAGGATACCTTTGAGAGAGAGAAAAATGGGGCTTAACGTCCATTTGACACAAATTAGGTCATTTTGGTATTAACATATGGTTCTATTTTATTTCAATAATTCGTTGGACAGGCGACCCTACTCCTTGTCGCGTACAACCGGGGAATCGATTCCACGCTGGTCAACTGTTGTGGTTTCGATTCCCCAGTTGTACCTGACAAGGAGTAGGGTTGCCTGTCCAACCTTGTGGGTTTTATCCGGGTCCTCCGCTTTCCTCCCACTGCTAAAGACCCCTACGCGCAAGCAAATTATTGAAATAAAATTGAACCATGTGTTAGTCCCGAAATGACCTAATTTGTGTCAAGTGGATCAAAATTGTGACCTCTACAGGGTCCACAACCTTGATATACCATATGTTTACACTATTTGTGTACGAGGCGCGGCCATTTTGTCCAGCAGTTTTGGTTCGATTTTCACATATATGAACTCAACCAATATTACATATATTCAAACGATATTTTAAGTCAGATAATAATTGTGACCTCTAGAGTGACCACAAGCTAAAATCGCAATTTTTCGTACATCCTGTGGCCATATTCCAGGAAATTACGATCTGATACGCACAAATATGGCAAGGAAGCTTAAGATCGTTGGGTTATAAACATGTTCAAGTTTCATCAAAATCAGATGAAAATTGTGACCTCTAGAGTGTCCACAAGCATGGGTGTCACACATGGGTGGGGGGGGGTCCGCCCCCCCCCCCCAATTTACATAGTAGGCCCTAACTCCTATTTATTTACAACAATTATTAGGATTAGTTAAGATTCTATTTCTATAAAACCTGTAAATATCCCAATATGGTTTACATTGCTAAAATAAAACACATGAAAATGTGGGCGTATATATTGAAAATTTCATTCAAATTACTTTATTCTAGGCGATGTTCTAGAGAGTTGATTATAGGTTTGTCATGTGAATAATTGTCTAAATAATAATTTATATAAGATTTGAAGCCAGAAAACAAACCTGCAATTTAGATTTTACATAATGCATATTTAACTTTGGTTCGTTTATGCTTTGTTTCAAGTAGTGGGAATATTTGTATGTATAAAGCAGATGGCTATTATATCAATAATTCAACATCTTATGGTTATATACAGTGTAAAGACAATATAGCTGTTTATTTTGATTGTTTACCTGGTCTTGTGTGGAATAATAAACATCAACTCTGTACTAATGGTGTATGCTTACAAGAAATGGGTAAATATATGATCTAATAACTTATACTGGTATTATAATTGGTTGTTTTTGATTGGTGCCGGTCTTCATTAGGAGGGTAGGTGCAAAAAAGTATGACTTCAAACACCTTTAGTTATTCATTCATTTTGTTTGGTTGAGACTTGGAGAGAATTATACCACAAGATGTGGAATGTAGGAAAGAAGTTTGCAAGTCAACAACTACCATTCCTAGATACTAAACCTTTAGGATATTTTAGGTTCCTTTCTCAGGGTATTCCTGAGGTATTGACAGACTAACTTGTGTCTAGTTATTCTGCTGAGAGGGTAAGAAAAAATGCCACTGTCTGGGTAAGTCCCACTTCATATCGCACAGTCTAGGTAGGGGTAGTCATATGTCAGAGAGAGTGAAGGGGGTGGGGGGAGGTATAATTTCCACTTGATTCAAACTAGGTCATATTGGGACTAACATGGTTAAATTTTATTTCAATAATTCACTTGCGCATAAGGTCTTTAGCAGTGGGAGGAAATCTCAAAACCCAGAGAAAACACACTATGTTGGACAGGCGACCCTACTCCTTGTCACGTACTTGTGCATAGGGGTGTTTAGCAGTAAGAGAAGACCCACCCAGAGAAAACCCACATGGTTGGACAGGCGACCCTACTTGAATCAATGACAGCCTATATTATCTTAAGTGCACACATTAAACCATTCGGCCACACAATCCCCTCAAATGACTGAAGTATGGTGTTGACACCATATAAATCAATATTCCTTTCCCATTTAATTAAAACTGTCATAAACTGATGTAGAAGGTAGGTGCATATGAAGAATAAGACCAAATTACAGTGTATTACAGTGGAATGGTAAAGGACATGTCACTAGTTAGTCTGATCAGGGCCATTTTAAAAATATCTGAGGCAATATGAAACTCTAATTTTAATTTCCAAATTAAATCTTGGGGCACAAAATTTTACAGGCCCTGGAATCTGTCCATTGTGCTCATGTAATAAGATGGCTCCCAAGTCTGACTGTAAATCAATATACAGTGGTGAGTGATCCCACTTGCAGCTAGAACCCATTATAAGACTTGACATTTCTCATCCAGATTTTCCGGCGTGGTTTTCCCTTGTCAGTGATGCAGGACGGAGGGCTTGACAAGGACAGCTGTCTAGTCGTTTGGATGGGACGAAAAACCTAAGTCCTGTGTACATATTGGCATGCACGTAAAAGATCCCTTGGCAGTTGGAATTCAATATAAGAGCAGGCCGTAGTGCCGCTGTCCGGGCAAAATTTCCCTCATAGCACACTCTATGGCGTATGCCCATCTTCATTAGCCCAATTTAGGAGCAGAACAGTAGGACGTTAAACCCCATTCCATTTCATTTCATTTATTATGTTTTCAAACAAAATACTGAAAGAAAATATAGATCTGTATTTAATCAGATTGAGGCACCCCAAACATGACCCTTAATAAGTGACTAGTCCAACAGGTGTCTTTAACACGTGTGTTTCCTCTAAACTGCAGCAGCTTCTAAAATGACTTTATAATGGCCACCAATTTATAATAACCTATTCTTAAGATATTTTTCTGTCATTACAGGGATAAGAAGTGTAAAATTTAGAAAAAAACTGAAGTTCGGTTTTGTACATATGAAATCTTCAACAACCAAATCACGAGTAAAATGTGCTGGATTATGTCTTATGAAAGATAACTGCCAATCATTTTCTTGGAGTGGACAGGGTCAAGAGTGTAAACTTTATGATATCTGTAATGACAATAATACTGTCACATGTATTAACAAAACTATGGAGATTGGAAATTTTGTAATGATCTGATAACTATTCCAAAGTATACATATAGACGGGAGGCTCAGCTTCAGGGGGTGTCCATCAAATGTGCACAAAACCAGACCCCTAAAATTTTGCGCAGAATACAATGCCAAGTGGTAATCAGTCCGCCGTTGGGGAGTTTTTGAGATATCCAGGGTCAAAGGTCAAATGAGGTCATTTGTACTGAAAGTTAATGCGCAGCCATTCTTGTATCATGATATTATTAATTAGAACAGGTTTCGCTTTGGTTTTATATTTTACGCTGAAATTTATTGCCTTAAATCTTCCTAGTGCAAAAATGGAAAATTTGACCTTTTGACCTCCAGGGTCACAAAGAACAAAGGTGAATTTAGCAAGTTTACATTTTTATTGAAAGGGTGATTACTTTCGATCATATTCAGCATGTTTTCATGATACAAGAATGGCTGTGCATTCACTTTCAGATTCAGTGCAAACGGCGGACTAATTACCACTCACCAACGTATTCTAGGCAAAATTTTACTATAGAATATTTGGTTTTGTGCCCATTTAATCCCCACCCCCCACCCCGTCACTGAGCCTCCAGACTAATATGATTTACTTAAATGCTTTTGAAATAAATGAAATGAAATGAAATGGGGTTCTGCTCCTTTGCTGGGCTAATGAAGACGGGCATACGCCATACATACAGTGTGCTATGAGGGAATTTTTGCCCGGGCAGCGGCACTATCGCCTACTCTTATATCGAATTCCAACTGCCAAGGGATCTTTTACGTGCATTCCAATGTATACACGGGACCTCGGTTTTTCGTTTAATCCGAAGGACTAGACAGCTGTCCTTGTCAGGCCCTCCGTCATGCATCACTGACAAGGGGGAACCACGCCGGAAAATCTGGATGAACTTTCTCGGCCAGTGCAGGGGTCGGACACCCGACCTCCAGACTAGCGAGCCAGCGTCTTACCCACTTAGCCACGTGATCCCCCTTTTGAAATAAAGTTTATTATATGGTGTTTAGTGTTTTTTCCAACACTTAATTCATGCCTCAGACCATTTTATCTGCAACATGGTCGATTTTCATGACAACTTAAAGATGCATTATGTAAGATTTAGATGAAGAACTGGACGTTCTTGTTATAATAGTTCAAAAATAGATAATGAAATATGAATATATTGAAAATTTCATTCAAATTACTTTATTCTAAGCAAAGTTATGACTGTTGAAGATATAGTGTAGATCGTTCATTATCGTAGCAATGGTACCTAACAAATGAGACTTGTCCATTTTATCACTAAATTTTTAAATCTCGTGATTGTTTAAATCCATTTAAATCTCTGCCATCCGATACTCTAGAGAGTTGATTATAGGCTTGTCATGTTAATAAATGTATAAACAATAATTCATTTAACATTTAAGGCCTAAAGAAAGCCATGTAATAGGCAGATTTAACTTGAAAAATGTATCTTTAATCAATTAATGGGTCAATCCCTAAATACAATTTCAAATACATAATTTTTATACTTTTATTTACTCCATGAAGCTAACAACATAATATTTGGAATATATTTCATACATTTTTAACAAAACAATATAACAATTTAACACATGTAACCTATAGATTAAAAATTTAATATGATTTTAAAAGATAAGTTCCCGGGCAACAAAACATGTCCATAGCAGCCAAGTCATCCCGGCAGTCCAATTGTGATTCAGTAAATAAAAAGTTGAATGTTGACATAATCAAGGGCAATAACACTATCAGTAATTATCAGAAAATGTTGAAATTGTTTCACTTATGTGAACAATGCATATAACTTTCAAGCAGATCAGCTGATAACTTGCGTCAATAGAGCTTTTAAAAGATTATACAAAGTGAAACAAGGGCCATAACTCTAGATGTATTGAACAGAAATTGTTGAAGTTTGTTCATTTGACTAGTTTATACTGCCGGGTATGCATATAAATTCTTTCAAACAGTTAGGATGATATCTTTTGTCGTCATAGAGTTCACAAGATTCTACAAACTAAACATGGACCATAACTCTAGATGTAATTAATGGAAATTGTTGAATTTAATAGGCTTCTTTTGAATTTCAAACATGTTTGAATTTGAATGTCAACATGAAAGAATTGAGGTGGTCAGATAATATCAATATCGGGTAAATTTACATTTTATTACCATTTTATACACCATTTAGCGACCACAATTTTGAGATAAAAAGGTCTTCAAAAGGGAACAAGATATCTTGAAGACCCAAAATAGGAGATAAACTTGTCTTTAAAAGGGAACAATTTGATGAAATAATTGACATTATTCTACCTCCGAGGTTTAGTTAAGGCAGCTTAATGCATGAACACGTCATTATTTGCTTTATATAACTGTTGACTCTGTACAAGTTGTATTCAACTACTGAAAACATCTGTATCTTGGTAACAGCCTTCAAATAATTTAATATGAATTTAAACATGTAGAAATCTATATCAACATTGATAAATAAAGTGAGAGAACCATTTTTGATTTAGTAATAAACAATGACATAAGTAGCGAATCTATGAAACTACATATATATGTAGTTTAAACCATATATTATGATTCCAAAAATATACTTCAATATATTAATATTATGATTAAAAAAAAAATCAGTTGACAAGTTTATAACAATATAGGTTAGAAAAAACTAATTACAAAATGTGATGTAAACAATATCAAGGGGAAAAATTAATTTCATAAAAAAAACAACAACCGATTACTAAAAATATTACCTTGGAGTTGGTTGAAGAATCTCTTTATAACAATATAAGATTAGTACAAATCAAGACAAACATGGTTTTTTTTTTAAAAACAATATTAAGGGTGTAAAGTTTTAAAAATTCAATCAAATACTAAATATATATATCCCCAATAAATGATTACTATATTATGCAACTGTTAAGAGATATTATTATTATTTAGGTAAAAATAAAATGTAGAATTGTAATGATCTCATGTATTATTTCGATCATTCATAGGGTAAGATCTGCATTAGTCAGTTCATTTACTAATTTGGCTTAAACTCCAACTGTTGAACAAAACTATAAGTTGTATCTCAATACTGGCTCTTGAGAAAAAAAACCCCAACAAATTTAACTTAATAGATGCTTATATTTTTTTACCCAAACCAAAGACATTTACCGTTATGCCATTTTTAGCTGAATGTAGAAATTTTTTAAGACAAAAAAAGACAGCAAAATACCATTAATGATAAATAATAAAAAAGATTTATAAGGATCATCTTCCAAATCACACGTTAGCCTAGATTACAGTGTTGTAACATATATCACAACCAAATCAACACAACTTTGTGTAAATTTTGTTCAAAGTAATCTTCAGAGTAATTTAGGTCATAAAACAGGTTATATTCACAACATGTGGAAAACAAATTGATAATTTAGCTTGGAAGAATGTTAAAAGTAAACCTCCTTGTTTTGAGCTGTTGACTAAGCAAATATTAATTATCCATACAATGGGAAAAAAGTCAATTTAGCGAAAGGAAAATCTGTTGTTGAACTACAAGTGACCACAGAGCTGCAGTGGATCAGTGAGTGAGGCGCTAGTTCACTAACCAGGATTTCTGGGGCGGTTTCCCCTTGTCAGTGATGCAGGACAGAGGGTCCAGTCATTCAGATGGGACAGAAAGATAGGTTGCCAGGCAATGAAACATACACCCACAGCAGCTAAATCGTCCGGGCAGTCAACAAGAGTTGTCGCATATTTTTACTTTTGTCGGTAATGAAACATTTATAATACATTAAAATCTAATTAAGAGTAACTACTCATTACGTAATTATCAGAAAATCATTAGAATTTGTTTGGCCTATGCTAACATTTAGTATACAAAACACTTAATATCATGGATTTAGCTGTTCAAGTTATCAAACATCATTGAAAATGAATATACTTGTTCGTCTCAAGACCTTAAACCCTGTATACCAATCTATAACGTCCACTCAACACAAACTAGGTCATTTCGGGACTGAAATGGTTTAATTATATTTCAATAATTTGTTTGCGCGTAGTGGTCTTTGTATAAATATAAAATCAATCAGATGATAACTATGGTCTCTAAAGCATCCACAAGATTTTTCAAAGGGCCAAAACTCTGGCAGTATTTATTGGAACTTGTTGAAAATCTTCATCATTACCTTAACACTGTATAAATTCATAGCCAATTGGATATTAACTTTAGCCTCTATAGTGTCCACAAAGTGATCAAGGGTCATAACCCTGGCAGTAATTATCGGAAATCGTTGAAAATCAAAAGGCTTCTTCGTCTCATGACCTTAGACAGTGTGTATAAATTTAATGTCGATCGGATGTTAACTTTAGCCTCTAGAGTGTCCACAAGATTTTTCAAAGTGATCAAGGGCCATAAATCTGGCAGTAATTATTGGAAATTGTTGAAAATCAATATGATTCTTCGTCTGTTGAACTTAAACACAGTCTATAAATTTAAAGTCAATCAGATATTAACTTTACCATCTAGATTGTCCACAAGATTTTTCAAAGTGATCAATTCTGGCAGTTGAAAATCAATGGATTTTCTTCATCCCTTGACCTTAAACACTGTGTATAAATTTAAAGTCAATTGGATATTAACTTTAGTCTCTAGAGCGTCCACAAGCAATTGTGGATGCCGGAACGTCGGACGTATGTACGCGGCGACCACAATATACAACCACATTTAAATGTGGGCGTATAAAAATCAAGTGCCGTGCAGACGTTGGCATCCATGTAAAAGAAACCTTGCATTTGAAATAAGAGTGGACAAAATTTACCTCATATGACACTGTACGTATTCATTAGCCCGATTGGTTCAGAAAAGTAGGACGTTAAACCGTCCATGATGTAAATAACTGCAATAATGTCAACATTTAGGATTCAAAAGAATTAAAGTAATGCTGTCACAAAATATTATGCATGCATAATGATTTTTATTTTTTTAAGAATTCTTTCTCCTTTTTTATCAAGACCAAATTAATAGAATTTTTATTTTGATGTTTAAAAAAAAAAAAGAGAAAGAATTTTGCAAAGAAAATTTCAAAATTGAATTGAATGCAGTTAATGAATGGAAGTAAAATCATAATTTACATAATACATGTGGACATTATTATGATGATATACATATTGCTAAGGGACAATCGCAAAATCTCAACACTTGTGTCCATACAAATAACCACATGGAACTTGTGAACGACACAACGGCATGTATAAACAGAGATCTATCCGAGGGTTATTTGTTTGAAATTTTGCAACTGTCACTAAAAAGTTCTTGTAATAGTTTTAAATATGCACAAACAATTAACATTATATTAAACATTTATGTTGAATATGTGGTATTTATGATATAAATATACGGTAAAAACTACAGGATGTCTTAGATTAAAACAAATTCTATTTCCCTGCAGATAAACACTAATCTAATCCATTACAAATAACCTGAAAAGCTAGAATTTGTTGCAATCAAACAAAACCTGATAAAATTACTCATGCTTTGTCAGCAATAAGACACATGACAGAAATATATTTTATAGTAGGCACAACATTGTTCAGATATATTAACATTACAATACAAAACTTTTTTTTCAAATTGCAGCCTCCATAAAACATTTGACCTATATATTTATATCTATCTTGATAACATCATTATAACAACTGTCATTACTGACCTTTCCATAACAAACTCTCCAACCAAACTTTCATTATACGAGTATAAATATTATTTTGTTTATATATTAGAGATTACAATCTGGTTAAAACACAGATCTATATTTCGTTTTGTTTTTTTATACTTTCGATGGCCTCTACTGCATGAAGATCTGACCAGTTGTAGTGGGAGGTCCCATAAGGGATCATACAAGCGGCTTTTGATCTATGCAGTCAGACATTTGATTAACCAATCAAATTATGACTACCAGTTAATAAAATTCAGTCTTAATATGCTTTTCCAGTCCAGAATTTGTCAATTGATATGCTTTCCAGTTCGAGATGTGTTAATTAATATGCTTTTATAGTTCAAGATGTGTTCATTAATATGCTTTTCAGTCCGAGATGTGTTAATTAATATGCATTTCCTGTTCAAGATGTGTTCATTAATATGCTTTTCCAGTTTGAGATGTGTTAATTATTTTGCTTTCCCAGTCTGAGATACATTAATTAATATGACTGTCATTCCACTCAAAAAGTCAACATATAAAACTTAATAAAACTGATAATTTTATATTAAAACCAAAATCAAAGAAGTCTGGTCATTTTAATTTATAGCACTATTAATTGAGTTTGTATAACTTATTAAATTACTCAGCATTCATTGCCATTTCAATTTATGATTAATAATAAACATATATTCAAATACAGTACAATGACAAAAATCACAAATGGTTTACTTTACCAAAAATACAATTAAATAAAAATGCATGATGTTGAAATAAGATTTTTAATTCAAACTGTTGAGATGTTGGACATATTTCATCCAATTTACGTCATCTCCCTTTGCAGGTTTCTTTGAAACTTCCGATTTACTGAAATAAAAGATATAAAGATATTATTATCTAGCCATACGCTACTTTACAAAATTTGTAACTACTCAAGAAGAGTATACTATAACCTATTGTGAGCCAATTTCTAAATTAAATTTTTAGGATCTATGAAAAATGTTTAGTATTAAATGTGGTGAAAGTTTAAAATAATTTTCACCGTATCAACATACCTTTCATCATCTTCCATTAAGAACTGTGTGGGTGAAGAACTTAATGACGTCTGCTCCATGTCTTCATCAGAAATAAAGGACAACAAATCTAAATCATCTGCAAAATACGACAGAAATGTCAATAATTTATTTCTTCCAGAATCTTTGAATTCCAACTGCCAAGTGATATTTAGTGTACTATCTATTTATCCACAAGATTTATGTTTTTCTACCTTAATGAAAGGGTCAAGCAGTTCATCTTGGCTCACGTGAGAATTCAAATGCAAGTATATTAACCTAACATGGCAACCACCCCAGCCCATTCGACATATTCTCTCTGTATTATGTCAAACCCTCGGATGGCTCGGATGTAATCGAACAATTTCAAAACTTCAAAAGAAATCCAATAATTTAACCTACCTTCACTGACTTCGCCAAGTTTCTCCGCTTTCCCAATCAATGTAGACAATTTCCATTCATAGGGGATCAGTGGAAATACTTTCTCTCCAGCTTCAGGCATTTCAATTTGGAGTAGGATCAGAAGCTGTGATAGCAGCTCATTCGACAAATAAATTTCTTCTTCTTCAGTAAAAGCTACCAATGGTACTGATTTCTTCAAGGCTAGTTTATATAATCATCATCTTATTATAATTGGGATTGTTTGTATCAGTGTAGGGGGGGAGAGATGTGGTTTTAACGTCCACTCAACACAAAGAGAGAGAAGACAGAGAGTATTGGGGATTACTGTCTACTCGTCAAAAACTGGGACTAACATGGTACAATTTTATTTCAATAATTAACTTGCTTGTGTAGGAATCTTCAGCAGTGAGGGGAAACAGGAGGATCCCGAGAAAACCCATAAGGTTGAGCAGGCTGACCTATTTCTTGTAATGTACAAGTTTGTGATTGAAACGCAACTCGAAACAATGACAGGCTTTGTAATCTAAAGTGCATTTTTAAACTAAAATAATAGTATGAAAGATAGGTTGTCAGGCAACGACACATAAGCCCACAGCAGCTAAATCATCGGAACGGTCAACAAAGGTTGTTGCATATTTAATCTTTTGTAGGTAATGCAGGCATTTACAAGACAACTTCATACAGATCAGATTATAATTTTCGTCCTATAATTATAATTTCAGGTGCTATAAACTGAAACGAGGGCCTTAACTGTAGACGTAATAAACGGAAATTGTTGAAATTCAATAGGATACTTTTTTTTACTAATTTAAATGATGCATATAAATTTCATACAGATTGACAGATAATTTTTGATGTTAGAGCATTCACAAGGTGCAACAAAGTGAAACAAGGGTCATTGTGGAAATTCGATAACCTTATTCGTTTTACTAATTTAAATAATGCATATAAATTTCATACAGATCAAAGTGAAACAAGGCCCATAACTCAAGGAGTAATTATTAGAAATTGCTGAAATATATTAGGCTTCTTCGTTTCACTAATTCAAATGATGCATATAAATTTTATACAGATTATATGATACCTTTCATCATTCGAGTGTTCACAAGGTTCAAAAGTTAAACAAGGTCAATAACTCTAGAAGGAATTATTGGAATGTGCTGAAATTCAATAGGCTTGTTAGTTTCAATAATTTACATGATGCGTATAATTTTCATACAGATCGGATGATAACTTTGGCATATTCACAAAGTGCAACAAAGGGAAACAAGAGTCAGAACCAGGGTTCTTAATCTATTTTGAAACTAACCGGCCAGAATTGGATCAAATGAGATCCCGGTAGGAACTGGGTTTTAAAATTTTAAGCTTCCATTCCCTATAATATAACCATCCATTCCCTATAATATAACCAGACTTTAACAAAAATAATTCTTGGTAATTTGAGAAATATCGTATTCTACTGTATGTAATTACCACAAAAATAATGACAAATAGGCACAACGTTTGGAAAATTTTCCATATTCAATTCAGTACCTGCTTGAAATTCATGTCAGTAATATTCCTGAATAAATTACTGTATTTGTTTTTTTCAATGGATATAAGCTGATACGGCACTACAGTATTTCTTTGTAGGTTTTTTTCTATCAAGTAACTTGCAAATGTTTTTATTCATTCATCCATGATAGACACACGGCACAGTGATCACATGACAACCATAATGGAAATAGCTTTAAAATTAAATTCCATGCGACTATGCCATATAGCTTTCAATAATAATAATGACAATATTTTAAAAATTAGGACTCTTTGTCAGCATGTGTATAAAATAAAAAATCATAACGGTAAACGCTATTTAAAACTAAAACTAGCATCGCTGGTTTATTGATCCAATTTCAACCGATGTCACATGTCATCAGCATTGGAGATTCATAATATTTAATGACTGTTTCTCAGTGTATTTGGTGTTCTATCCGAGGATTATATTCAACTAAGATTTATATTTAACTAACAACTGGTCAGTGAAACCATTAAATTATGATCCAATTATTATTTTAATATCTACCGGTACACGCGATAGATGCACAATCCATGCCGAGATCGTCTTCCTTCGTTTGGCACGAGGCTTATTTCCTCAAACGAAATTACTGGACCTGTTATGAATAATCAGCAAGCTTTTTTTTAACCGAATTATCAAAATTACCGTTACTTGTGCTAATTACTCGGATTATGAACCACATGGCAGATTCTCACGGAGATATGACTGTTATTGTAGCCGACAAGCAAGTTGATTGACTTCTTGATTAAACATGCATTATGCAAGAGCAAAATCTGCTTATTACAAGTCTTTCTTTAGGCCTGAAATGTTATCTAAGTTATCAATTAGACATTAATTAACTTATCCAGGCCATAATAAACCCTCGATGTGAAGGCTAGCCATCGATGTTGGCTGGATTAGATTCCTATATGCCGCTAACGGCTATTGATAATTAATCAATAAAAATGGATAATCGAGACTATGCTGTTTATATTAATGATTTTAGTAATGATGACCGAGACTATGCAAAAATTTCAGCCGCTTCTTTCTCGGCTCAAAGTGGATCAATTTGACTGAAATTTTCAGCAAATTACCTTTACACTATCTAGTTTTTAACTATTATAGCGAGAACTGCCATCTCTTTATCTTATCTCCCATAATGTATCTTTAACAAGTAATAATTAACCCATTGTAATTTAGCCGAAAGTAGATTGATTTATGATACCATAGTGGCCGGTTCATTGTTTTACCAATCGGCTTGATTGAACTTCAAGCGGCTAAAGCCGACAAAAAAACAACCAATTAAGAATAAGATTCCTCGTCAGAACTCCAGAAGAAATTAACGGAAATTGCTGAAATTCAATACGATTATTTGTTTCACTAATTTAAATGATGCATATAAATTTCATACAGATCAGATGATAACTTTCATCATTCGAGCATTTACAAGGTTCAATAAAGTGAAACGAGCCATAACGCTAGACGTAATTAACGGAAATTGTTGAAATTCAATAGGCCTTTTTGTTTTTACTTATTTAAATAATCCATATAAATTTCATACTGATCGGATGATAACTTTTGTAGCTAGAGTGTCTACAGGGTTCTACAAAGTGAAACAAGGGTCATAACTCCAAACATAATATACGGAAATTGCTGAAATTCAATAGGCTTCTTTGTTTCACTAATCTAAATAATGCATATAAATTTCATACAGATCAGATGATAACTTTTGTCGTTAGAGCATTCACAGGGTTCAACAAAGTGAAACAAGGGTCATAACTCTAGACCTAATTATTGGAAATTGCTGAAATTCAATAGGCTTCTTCGTTTCACTAATTTAAGGGATGCACATAAATTTCATACAGATCGGATGATAATTTTTGTCGTTAGAGCATTCACAAGGTGCAATAAAGTGAAACAGGAGAGAGAGAAATGGGGTTTAATGTCCACTCGACACAAACTAGGTCATTTCAGGACTAACACATGGTTCAATTTTATTTCAATAATTCGCTTGCGCGTAGGGGTCTTTAGCAGTGGGAGGAAACCGGAGGACCCAGAAAAAACCCACGAGGTTTGACAGGCTACCCTACTCCTTGTCACGTACAACCGGGGAATCGAAACCCCGCCAGTTGACTCAATGACAGACCGTATGATACAGCGCGCGCGTTCTAACCATTCGACCATCCAACCCCCCTTAAAGTGAAACAAGGGACATAACTCCAGAAGAAATTAACGGAAATTATTGAAATAAAATAGACTCCGTCATGTCACCAATGTATACGAGAAATTTCAATTTCAAAATACAAACAACATATATCAATTTCAAAACAATCAGATGATGAATGTAGTCTGTAGAGTGTTCACAGGAATTTGTGGACAACGGAGAGACAGACGGACGATGACAATTTACGACCACATTTCCATGTGGACGTATAAAAAAAACAAAAAACAAGCAGTTGACATGCAAGATACGCCCAAATTTTTCAAGAGATGGACAGAGAACAAACTAAAAAAAAAAGAAGCGATTTTTCATACGGTCCGATATGCATGAAAATCTACAGGAACCTAGATCTTTGGGATATAAACATGTATTTCAAGTTTCATCAAAATCGGATCAAAATTGCGATGGTCCACAACCTTGATATACCATATTTTTACACTATTTGCATACAAAGGGCGACCATTTTGTCCAGCAGTTTTTTTTTCTAATTTTCGAACTCAACCGACTTTACGATGTTACACTGATATATTCAAACGTTTTTTTAAATCGGATAATAATTGTGACCTCTAGAGGGACCACAAGGTAACAAAGTGATTTTTCATACAACCATGGGCCATAATTCATATACGATATGCACGAATATCGCAAGGAACCAAGATCGTTGGGTTATAAGCATGTATTTCAAGTTTCATCAAAATCAGATGAAAATTGTGACCTCTTAGAGTGTCCACAATGCTAAAAACGTTTATTCCGTACAATCAGGGGCTATAATTCATGAGGTCATGGTCCGATACATGCCAATATCAAAAGGAACTGAGATCTTTGGGAAATAGACCTAAATTTCAAGTTTCGTCAAAATTGGATACAAATTGTGACCTGTAGAGTGTCCACAATCAAATTGTGAATGAACGGACGGAAGGATGTACAGACAGGGGCGACGGCATAATACGTCCACATGAAAATGTGGGCGTATAATTAAAATAGGTAACCTTACATAAATAGGAGTAAGGTAGTGGATCAGGCCATTCTCCCATTGGTACATTTGTATCTATAAATAAAAGTGTAAGAATATAATATTCAAAATAACTACATACAACACAATACTTACCTAATTACAAAAAAGTATTAAAATAACTATGCTTTTGTTCTATGCATAGGTCTTAAATATTAATATCAACAAAACAGACATTTTCTTTTTTACCCATCACCTGGCAGGTACTGAAAATCTTCCCTCAATAAGCTGATATACATATGCAGTTGATAGTTTCATAGAGGCAGAGGAACATGTTGAAAATTAAAACTTGTGTACTAAATATGTTCTCTCAGAAAATAAAGTCAACATTAATCTTATCATTATAAATCTGATCGTCAATCTTTGCTGCAGTTCACTGTTATTTTCAAAAGGCTTTCACTTGACACTGACTGACTATAATATACGGTCAAAATAAAATAAACATCTGTTAGGCAGCGGTTAATTAATTGTTTGTTTCTCATGACCCGCCCGCATGTCCGTAAAGTAGGCTAGAATGTGAAAAAATACACGGAGTCCATCCGTAAAACCAGAAGTGATAAAGCCCTATCATATCTGTCATCCATACCAAGGAATGGTAGCTGCAGCATTCACCAAAGACCACATATATACTTATTATTTTATTTACGTGACTAGCAACCAACGATCCCAGAACTGCCGCCATGAGATAGCCTCGATCATGAGATACCGACTGGTTGACACTGCTTCACACCTTTCACGGTATTTTATTAACAACACTATATAAACAGTCTCAAAAGGACACAAAGATACAAATAAATGTACACAGTTCTAGGAAACAGATAATATAGTGTGTTTTTTGGTTCTCTTAAAAGACCTTCTTGATCCAAATGTCAAAGTTGGGCTGATTATCTTTTGTAATTTCATTGTAAAATGTAACTTCAAATACTTGTATACAATTTCTGGAAAAGCTGAGTTTCAGACAGTATTATCTTTAGCAGAAAGACGCATTTATGTTGAAAGTGGTGGCCTGTATTTCATAATTTAGCAATGTATGAAATGGAATGCTGTACAATGTTTTGTCAACACAATGCTTAGGTCATTTTGAGACAAAACAATGGTAATTATCAATTCTGTTTACATATGCAATGATACAGAGGAGAATTTTCAACAAACTTTGCTTTCATTTCGAATTGTCAAGGCTTGTGTGCATGAGGAGAAGTCAGATTTTTATCCTATCCAAACAACTAGGGGAGAGAGAGAGAGACAAATGGGGTTTAACGTCCACTCGACACAAACTAGGTCATTTTGGGACTAAAATATGGTTTAATTTTATTTTAATAATTCGCTTGCGCTTAGGGGTCTTTAGCAGTGGGAGGAAACCGGAGGACCCGGAGAAAACCGGGGATTCGAAACCACGCCAGTTGACTCAATGACAGGTCTAACCATTCGGCCATCTAACCCCCCCAAACAACTAGGCAACATTTTAATTGTCCAACTATGTGGGTACAACCCCTGATAAATGATGACTCAGCTTGAAAGACCTGTGGGATCTTCTAGGCCCACACCTGAATTCAAACCTGGGTACCGGTAACCCAGTTAAGAATCTAGTTCCCTGACAGCTTGACTACCTACCACAGCTCTATTTAGCAATTAATATTATGAAGTTTAAACTGTTTAAACCTGACAATATTAAATTCTAGATGGACAGCTTCCATAATACTTACTTCTTACATAAATGTAAATAAATGAAAACACTTACATGATTTGGCTCGAGCCGTTTCTAACAATCTCTCTTGTAGCCATGTAACACATTCATTGCCATCAGATTTCAGTTTTTCAACTATTTTCTTTATTAGCTCATCAGCATCTAAGTCGTTAAATTCTTCAGATGCATCAAAACTATCATTTTTCTGAAAAATATTTGCACAGAAATTGTAGATGGAATTAAGATATAATTTCCGAAACTTTATGATTCAATATAGGGTTATATAAAACAAGCCAACAGTGAGGCTGATGTCTCCTTCCGCAATTCCAAAATAATTAGATGACACATTAATTAATTGCACATTATGTTTTTATAAAGCATTGAGCAATCAACCTGCTTTGTATATACTTAATCTAAACAGAAAAAAATCATTATCGAACTTAGTCAACCATACAGCAAGTTTCACCACTCTTGCTCAATTAGGATCAAAGTTTTCATGCTCCAAAGTCTTGAACAATCAAATTGTTTATCGCTCTCGTTACCCTGAGCAGAAATGCTCATTATCAAATTTAGTCAACGTGTTGATATAATGAAACTATACACTCTCATTTAATTAGAATCAAATTTAATCACGTCCTAAACCATCAACTAACGTAATTGTCTGAATTGCGATCCCTGAAAACATACCTCTTCCAGTATTTCTTGAACATTCACAAGAAGCTGATCAGTTAACAAGCCAGTTTTAGAAAGGTGTTTAGCTACCTGTAAAAATAATAAGCGCCATGAAATAACTTTAACATAGAGCAATTCACAATCTCACAAATATTAGGCAATATAAAAAAAAGTATTCTGGTTTTTAGACAATCCTTCCAAAAATCTGATGTGGGAGAGAGGATTTTATTTTTGTGTTTTTATTTTGTCACAGGATCACTGCTGGGCTAAATGACTTCTTATAAACATCACATTTCAAAGCACTAAAATTTTTTAATCATGCGGTTTATGCCAGTGTATAATTTGATAAGTGTTTCCAAGACTATTCAAACTACCGGGACTTGCCATGGTGTCAGAATAACATAAAGGAATTTGACCAGCTACAAAATACTGAATAACATAATTCAATGAAATGATTTAATATTTAAAAATAAACAATAAACAATGTAACAGTTTCTGGAAAATGTACTACATAGAAAATTTCAGATGAATCCAAATAATGATTTTGTATAGTAAAATCTACCTATGATTACAAATATTTCATTCTGATGCCTCTGATTAAGAGAACACTTACTTCGTATGGTGTTTTCTCAATTCCATTTTCTGTAAAATGTTGGACAATATTATCCACCATCAGGTTTTCATCATCATCACCAGCCAGGAAACTCATCAACAAGTCTTCTTCTTCATCAGTCCATTGTTCAATTAATATACTTTGACTACAACATAAATAATATATTTTTAGTTTATCTGCAGTTCAGTGATTTTTCTATTTATATTCTGGGACTGACTAATAAAACATTAACTAAGAAATTTAACCTTGGTTCATTATTGAACTAGGAATGAAAACAGAATATATTTTCCGTATTATATGAAATTAAAAACACAAATTATAATTAAGTATTGATCCATTACCATCAATATTGATGTTGATATCTTGTCATGAAAATATAGGATAGCATCCTAATATACAATATTTAGGACATAATGAACATTCTATAATCAGTACACGAGTCGTGTATTCTGTGGTTTCGGATGCCATTTGTAATGAACACACAAGACAATGTAAAAGTAATTAGTAATGGCAGATTCACAAACAACACATACTAATAAAATAAATGTGTTGAATGGACTAACTTGAGCTAAACGACTGTCCTTCAATTCTGACTTTTCATGTATTTCACTGAACATAATTGATTAGAAATTACAATAATTTTTTTAAAAACTGAACATAAATCACTTTATATACATTCATATTATATTAATATGTGCTTTCAGTGCCAATTTCGTCTATTTTAATTAGTGCTGATATCAAGTAAAATTTTACGCATCGGACCAAAACATCGATACTCGCATCAATGCATTGGGATTTTTTTTGCCGCCATTTTGTTATTCAAAACTTACCGAAATAGCATTAGTATTTCTGATAGAAACATAGATTTCCCCAACATTATCATTATAGAAATGTCGATTTATTTGAATAACTATATTTCCACGATTCACTTCAATTGATACTCGTCAGCCATTGTTCAAATCTGTTGTGAAGGCGTGCGGGGTAAGGTGATTACAAGAGACAGTTTGGATTATTTATATACAGATCGCCCCAAAGCCTATCTATAGGCATTTATGAAGTACATTCTCTATTGCCCGAGACAGAAAGACTAAATCGTTTTAAAACCAGTGTTAAAAAACGGACGGGAATTATTATCGTTCTGACATAGTTCGTCTGGCCATGGACTGTATACTAGATTACTGGAAAATGGAGACAAACTAACGGAAGCGTAGCGTAAACAGGTCAAGCTGGACTAGCCTAATACAACGTGCGGGATTCATTGATTTGTACCGTTACATGTATTGAAAAGGTGTTACTTATTCTAGTGGACGAATTTGTGAACTCCTCAGAGTACTCGGACACATAAAGCTAATAATTACTATTTTTTGCCGATGCATCGATAAAACCAAAAAGAGCCGAGAATCGCATCGCCGTCGGCCATTCAATTGAGAAATGTTCTAATTTGCACAAGTCACGCCTACTATAATATGTTGGTGTGTTTACAAATAATGGTGTGTGGTGTGGGATAATTAATGACTGGCTAAAAGTCAATTAATTTACACACAAGATACATGTTCATTTACCTCACAGACGAGTCTTGTCCTGCTTCAAATAATTCATGTGCCATTTGATCAGGGTTAGCACCAGACTTGGAAATAAATTTATGTAGAACAAGTTCGATCAGATGTGTAAATTCCTAGAAAATAAAAAACATATTTTGTATAAGTAGGGTGACCCACCATAAATAAATATCTCCATATATCTCGACAATTTCGCCACAATATTTATATATATGCCAAGCCTCAAATCAGTTTCACACAATTATAGTCACTAAATAAACGATCATGTTGTACTTAATAAGCTATGACCATTAATCATCTATAAATAATAGACTGAAAACTGGTTCCATGTGTCGTCCATAACATCCAGACACTCTTGAGTAAAAAATAGGTTACGTGCCCTTGTTTTGAAATTAGTCTCGCTTAACCAGTCTATCGACCATTCAAGGGCTGATTGACAGGTCGGGATAATCAAGACAACTTTTTTACGAAACATAACAGAAAGCTAGAACAAGAAATTGAATTTAGAAATGAGCACGTTAGCTAGCTCAACAATTGTTTTAAGAAGCTTGTAAAAGTAAAATGAAACTACTGCTAGTATCATGTTCCTGTCTAACCCGAGTGCTTCAGAGATATTATTTGTACTAAACCAAAAGATGCTGCTCTGAACGGTACAGTTAATGATAAAGCGATTTAAAAAATGAAACGAACGTAATTTCTAAATCTGCTGTAATAACCAAGAAGCTTAATTTTACTGCTATTCAAAATCGTCAACAATAAATTTTTTACGGCTGTAATAGTTGATAGATTTGTAGAGAATTGCACGTGCCATGGCTATTTATAGTATCATACTGTCAGAAAGTTGGCCTCGACACGGCGAATGTGCACGCTTCAGTGGTAGTCTCGAACTATCAGCGGTTGACTGTATTTCTGTAGGTGCATGGGTCACCCTAGTATAAGGAAATGAAACAGTCACCAACAGCCATGTCATTTGTTTCATGATGGAAATTGTAACAATTCAACATTTGCAAGTGTAATAACATTTCCGATTTTCACTAATGGTAAAATATTTAAATTAAAGAACATAAAATAAATGATCTGAAATTAACAAGTACCAATGTACAATGGGCCAGGAACCTTGTTTGACATCATTGCAGTCATCTTGTATTTAAAAAATAACAAAGTCTGCCAATCGATTCTCCATTGTCCAAAGAACAGACATGCCAAGTTTTATGTCGATCACGAGAGACAGAAATGGATACAAACTAGATCATTTCGGGACTAAATGTCAATTGTACTTAAATAGACGGAGCCTTTCAAAGAACATCACCCCTAACACCAAGAAGATGAGTATCACTTGGGACCCATTTCCTGGTCAAAAAAAAATTTGTTCAGTGACATGGTACTGATTATGATTTGTGTAGATGACAATTACAAGTAAAGAGAGATATATCTCAATAGCATAAAATAATTGTAATCTAGTTTTTTTTTACCATCCTGAAGTGCTTTATTGCCATGCGAAACAACTGGCTTGCGGAAGAGGTATGTTGAGAATACGTTATAAATCAACAAATAATCTTATTCCATTTTCATGAATAATTATAAGATAGGTAGCCCGGCAACTAGCATACGCCCACAACAGATAAGTTGTCCAGCAGTCCTCAAAGACTGTCACACATTTATACTTTTGTTGGTAATGGCAACATTTACAAGACCCTAAAATGGCTAAATGCTTAATTATCAGAAATAAATTCAGTTTGATTTGTCTAGTTTTATTATACTAAACACATATCAGCAATCAGATGATGACTTTAGTAGTTCAAGTTACCAGCTTCTTTGTGTCATAAAAATAAACATTGTGTATAAATTGTAAATCAATCAAATAAGAACTTTAGCCTGTAGATCCACAGAGAGATGAACCAACAAACTGAAGTGGAGATAATGTGGGTGTATAAAAATTACCTGACAGGCGCCCTTTTCCCACATCTGTCCAAATATTATAATAATCGGCAACTGCATCAATACCTCCATACTGTCTATACTACCAGTCATATGATGCATCAAAGTCAAAATACATGTATTTAACTCAGGTGCATTATGCTCATAACTTCCCAATGAGAAAGAATACGTCCTCATTAATTTATTCTTAGCAAATCTGAAAGATCACCAATTGATCAAACACAAAACAGCTTGTAAAACATAACTGCCATTTTCAAAATATTGTTAATTCTTATAGAGAGAGAGAAATGGAGTTCAACGTCCACTCGACACAAACTAGGTCATTTCGGGACTAACATATGGTTTAATTTTATTTCAATAATTCGCTTGCGCGTAGGGGTCTTTAGCAGTGGGAGGAAACCGGAGGACCCGGAGAAAACCCACGAGGTTGGACAGGCAACCCTACTCCTTGCCACGTACAACCGGGGATTCGAAACCACGCCAGTCGACTCAATGACAGGCTTTATGATATAGCGCGCGCACGCTAACCATTCAGCCATCCCCCCCCCCCCCCCCCGTTAATTCTTATAACAGTAATGTCTGGAGTATTAAATGTGGTCAATTGCACACACTTTAAATGAATTAAATATATAAATTCTAAACAAGCATACAGTGAGGCTGATGTCCCCCGCCGAAATCCCAAAATAAATAGATGACACATATTAATTAATTGCACATTTATATTTTTCAAAAGTATGAAGCAATCAAACTGATTATCAACTATACACCAAGTTTCATCACTATCGATCAGATAGAATCAAATTTATCTTGTCCCAAAGCATCGACCAATGAAATTTCTTAGCTCTGCTTAGCTTTAGCTCGAAATGTTAATCATTGAACTCAGTCAAGACATTCACCTAATGAACATCTACATCAAGTTTAAACATTCTACCTTATTTAAAAGCAGAGTTGTTATGTTCGAAAGTCTTGACCAATCAAATTGCTTATCGCTCCTTAGCCTAAGCAGAAAATTCTCATCATTGAACTTATTCAAGTTATTGATGTAATAAAACTATACATTAAATTTCATCACTCTCACTTAAACATACCTTATGCAAGAGCTAAATTTGTCTATTGCAGGTCTTTCTTTAGGCCTGAAATGTTATCTAAATTATTAATTAGACATTAATTAACCTATCCAGATCATAATCAACTCTAAATGGCATCGCTAGAGTGCGACCTTTAGTGGATTATGAGCCGATTTACTGCATAACTTTCCTTCACGATTTAACGATTAAATGGATAATCGAGACTATGCTGTTTATCGTACTGACTTTAGTAATGATGATCGAGGCTAGTCGGAAATTTCAACTGTTTAGTTCTCGGTTCATAGTGGATCAATTTGAATGAAATTTTCAGCAAATTGCCTTTACATTATCTAGTTTTTAACTATTATAGTGAGAACTGCCAACTCATCATCGAATCTCCTATAATGTATCTTTAATTAGAACTAAAGTTATTGTGTCCCAAAGCATCAACCAATCAAATTGTTTATCTCTGCTTACCCTAAGCAGAAAATGCTCATCTTCGAACTCCATCAAGGCATTGACCTAATAAACACCCACACCAAGTTTGAACATTCTAGCTCAATTAGAAGGAGAGTCATTGTGTCCCAAAAAGTGTGATGGACAGAACAGACAGACGGACGGACAGAAACACGAACCCATTTTAATAGTCCCCTGCTTTCTTCGAAAGGCGGGGGACAAATACCAAATTATAGCAAACATAAAGATTGGATGCCAGGCAACGAAACATACACCTACAGCAGCTAAATCGTTTGCGCAATTGACAAGGGTTGCTGCATATTTATTCTTTTGTAATGTAGATAATGGAAGCATTTACAAGACACTAATATCAATTTCATACAGATCAGATGACAAATTTTCTCGAAAGACCATTCACAAGGTTCTATAAAGTTAAACAATGGCCATAACTCTAGACGTAATTTTCAGAAATTGTTGAAATTATATATACGTCTTCATCTCACTAATATAAACAAATATATTTAAATTTCAAAAAGACCGTATAATAAATATAAGCTGTAGAGTGTTCACAAGAAATTGTGGACGATGGAGGACATGACAGTAATATAAGAATACAAAAGGTCAAATAAGAATTGAGAAGTGGTATATACTTACAATGACACATGTTTTTGTAAAGTAAAATGTGGTGTGAGATACTCTTTTTTACTCCAGGTATCAAGTAATTGGATATAAATATGGTTGGTTTGTATGACATCTGAGAGATAAAGTACTCCTTGTAGATGTGGTTTAAACTGATTTAATAACAGAAGGAATAATCTCTGTAGGGTTTTCATGTTGGCGATATCAACTGAAAATATTAGGTAGACAATATTAAATAATAACAATGTTACTCACAGATTTCAGATTTTAATTTGAAAAAGATTCTTTTGGTCTATTGAAATTATTTTACAGGATACAACTGTGTAAAGTCTGATTCACATTGGCTCCAATGATATGAAATATTAGTATATTAAGTGAACCTTCTAGGGTGAAAAAATTTTGATTGTGTTATCATTTTTCGATTGACTGAAATTTAATTCACTCTTCTTCAAATCAATAGCCTGAGGTCCTAAAAATACTCTTATGGACCAAGACTAGTAATTTTAATGTAAACTGCCTATTTATAGCAATTCTGTATTGCTCCAGAGAAATTAATTTATAGAGTGGTCCAAGCTCAATAAATTTTACAACACATTGACAAAAATTCTGGCTTATTTTAGAATTATATGATAAGACTTACCATAAAAACTTGATTCATCAACAATCGAAGTCTGGCCATGTTTGAATTTTGAAGATATAACCTTTTTGGCATGTTTGAAAAATTAGTTGAAATTATGTTCGGAGCACATTATCAAGCCAGTTAACTCTTTGTGACAAAACGAGTTATGGTTCTTGGTCAAAATAAAAGTAGAATCACGTCCCTGGAACGAAGATTTCTTCATCACAGTGGAAAAACATTTTTTTTTTTCTTGCCGCGAAGTAACGGAATACACTCTATGAGACGATTGGATTTTCAACATCTGTACACATGCACAAACGCTTAGGTTTTTTTACGATATGCCGACGCCTTCAAATGTCTGAATATTAACTACTTATAATGCTACAGTGGCAATTAAAATACACGTTTAGATGGATATCATAAGACTGACGTTTTGACATGAATTGTTTAACGATTAGCCTAATATTAAAATGAGTAGTGATTCCATCTCTGTATCCCCACAGACATGGTCTGTTTATAATGGCATGTTAGAGAGAGAGAGAGAGAGAGAGAGAATTTGTCCGATAAAGTAGAGGAAAAAATGATGGAATGTAATACTGAGAGAGATGAATAAAGACCTCTATAAATCTAATAATTTAACACTAACTTTATTTTTTGTCCCACAGATAAATAAATATATTGTGCCGTATGAAGTTTGTTATGAAAAAAGAACACATTGCTGAATAAAGTTCGAGGAAAGTATTCTACGAAATAATTAAAAAAGATACTCTAAAAATAATTTACACCGAGTTACCGAAAAATGTCTGGAAAATAAAGACTACAAATAAAAATTTTGTTTTGGTTGTTTTCCGGCCTCAAATAGTTCTGCGTATTTAGAGCTAGCAAATATTAATTTCCTAAACTCATGAGAGCGGCATGTAAATGAAGGATGTAACCACTAAATAAAAGTAAATCTCAAAGTGTTGTAATGAGTTGCCTATTGTTTTTAAAATTAAATCTAACATACTTTTATTGACTTTTAAATGTTTTAATGGTATGGCGCCCTTTTACTTGTCCTGTCTTATGGATATTTATGAACCTTCTCGAACGTTACGGTCATCCAGAGACAACTTTTTATTAACGGAAAAAAGAGCCAACCTTTCAAGTTATGGAGAGCGATCGTTTTCGTTTCAAGCACCAAAGCAGTGGAATCTCTTGCCTTTCAGTATGCGCAGTTGTACCTCTTTAACAACTTTTAAATCTAAACTTAAAACTTTCTTATTCTAAGAGGCTTTTAATTGTTGAATTAGTTTTAAATCTTCACCATATGTATTTTATAGATATTTATATATTTATTTTTGTACTGATTTTATAGATATTTAGTTTCTTACCGTTTCTATGATTATTATTTTTTACTGATTTTCTATTTTCTATACATGTATTTATTGTAAAGCGCACCTGAACACTTATGTGGAAGATAATAATAATAATCTGGCCGCACTCATGAGTTTGAAAGTTAGAAAAGAAATGAAGCTATTACAGCTAGCTCTGTACCAAAATCTCCAAAATCAAAAATTAAATCAACGAGTGCAATCAACATTTTGTTCACGTTTGCTGTAAAATAACCACGAAAGTCGAAGCGTGTAATAGGTGTATTTTTACTTGGCTTTATATACCAATACCTGTTTGTTTAAAAGCTACTTGTGACGTATATTTGCTGCGATCTCCAACTCCACGTGTACGAATTAACCTTTACTCACTCCAGAAAATCTCCTCGATGGTGCAGACAGGCAGATTAGCGGGTCAGTTTTTATAAGGACAAATTATTGAGCCATGAACTACTCTACAATTTACTTTTTTTCATTAACATGATTTCTCCAGTCGTTCTTTTTTTCTCAGAATAAATGTGCAAATTTTGAAAAAGAACAACCATCAACATTATCAACAATTCCCTGAAAATACTAAATAAATCTTTTCTGGAATCATTTTAATTCAAAGCTATAAAGTAACTCATACTTAGCATTCGTTCCATCGATGCATCTTCATTTTGTAATAGTTTAAACATCTGATACAAGGCACAAACTGTTAGATGCAGTCTAGAAATAAAACATATAAAGATACAGAAACAAATTAAACACATGTTCTATAGAAATGCAGAACACAGTGCATCTTGTTGGCAACAAATTTCATTAAAGTCTATGAATGTCATTTGAGTGATCATCAATCCCTTGCTATATTGTGAAAATTGCGTAGATTCTGAATGGAATATTGACCCCAAAATGGACCTATTAAACCTTTCTTGAAAATAGGAACTGAAAACTAGACTCGGCTACGTAACTATGACAATCATGAATGGCACTGGATAATTAATTGTTAACTTCTTATTTCGCAATGATGGTAACAATTTTGCCGTCAATCTGTCTTTTTCACCACCATAATGCCTATTTATGGGGAGTATTTTATCTTTCTCGAGAACTATGACTTGAGAGAGATGACCGAAAGTATTAAGGATGCAGACTTCAATTTAAATCACCAACAAAATCCACACATTGGTCACCAATAGAAAAAATGGTGGATTTGAAAACATTTTTGCAAGATACGCCCACATTTTGCAAGAGATGAATAGAGAACAAGCTAAACCAAAAGCGATTTTTCGTACAATCAAAGGCCATAATTCAGGAAGTTACAATCTGATGTGCGCAAATATCGACAGGAACCAAGATCTTTAGGTTATAAAGATTTATTTCAAGTTTCACCAAAATCTAATCAAAATTTTGACTGTAGAGGGTCCACGAAATTGATATACCATATATTTACACTATTTGCGTACGAGGGATGGCCATTTTGTCTGGCAGTTCAAACCCAACCTTCATTTGGGTGTAACGGTGATATATTCAAACGTGATTTTTCGTACAATCAGGGGCCATAATTCATGAAGTTATGGTCCGATACATGCCAATATCGAAAGGAACCGAGATAGACCTCAGTCATTATTAGGGCGTATTGGTGATATATTGAAACGTTTTTTTAAATCGGATAAAAACTGTTACCTCTAGACCACTAGCTAAAAACGTGAATTTTTCGTACAATCAGGGGCAATAATTCATGAAGTTATGGTCCGATATATGCCATTATCGAAAGGAACCAAAATCTTTGGGAGATAGACCAATATTTCAAGTTTCGTCAAAATCGAATAAAAATTGTGATCTGTAGAGTGTCCACAAACAAATTGTGGACGGCGGACAGGGGCGACGACAATATACGTCCACATGAAAATGTGGGCGTATAAAAAGATTAGGCAGTAGCACCACTGCCCAAGCAAAATGTCCCTCATAGCACACTGTATGCCATATTCCCAATTATTGTAGAAATGTAAGACATTATTAACTTCAGTAAACATACCTTCGTTGACAATATGCACTCCAGCAATTTCTCTGTTGAAGTGCCATCAAGTTTTGACAGTTATGAATAGCCTGATATACCAGTGCACAACACAACTCCGTGGAATATGGTTCACTGAAAACAGACATTATAAACAATGTAATAAACAGATTGCCAAAAGCGGATCACAAAATATCTTAAATCGTGGGGGGGGTTTTTTTGGGGGGGGGGGGGTATCTACATAAACTGACCAAGGATCAGAACATATAATTTTGTTGTTTAATTACTAAAGAGTTCACAGATTGAATTTGTCTGCAGTGTGCAGAGCTTTAGTTATGCGAAGGTCCAACTCCTTGATTGTATGTCCCCAAGACACAAGTATAGGTTCTAGTTTTGAGTCATGTAAGAAAGTAAGGCATTTTAAGGTCAAAATGCAGTAGGGCAGCTTCAATGTACAGCAAAATAACAGCAACAATTTCAAATTTAAAAAATAATTTAATTTAATTTCACTCTTTGATTGGATGGCCAAATGGTTAGAGTGTGCCCGCTGTATCATAAGGTTTGTCATTGAGTCAACTGGCGTGGTTTTGATTCCACGGTTGTACATGACAAGGAGTAGGGTCGCCTGTCCAACCTCGTGGCTTTCCTCCCGTTTCCTCCCACAGCTAAAGACCCCTAAGCACAAGCGAATTATTGAAAAAATTGAACCATGTGTTAGTCCTGAAATGACCTAGTTTGTGTCGAGTGGACATTAAACCCCATTTCTCTCTCTTTGATTAGATGCCCCCCTAACGCCCCACCCCATCTGAAACAGATAAGCACCCACACCCCCCTATAGCCTGTCTACATACCACTGTAATTTGTAGCAATGAAAAGTGAGTTTCTACATGTATCTCCTTCAATAAAATATACTTACATAATACAGGGTTTAGTCTTATCTAAAGATGTCTGACAGTTGATATATTTCATGAAATAAGAAACGATCCACAAAAAGTAAGTATCATCCAAGTTCTTACCATTTTCCGTCAAAACATTGGACTGAAAAATAAAAATATTTGTACAAGTACATGTACATGGAAACAAATTCATCAACAGCCTGAAAATGAGTGTACCAGAAGTAACTGGCATATCTGGACCAGGAACTGGTCCCAAGAGCTACTCATCGAGTTGTTCTTCTTGTGGAGTAATGCTCTTCGTAAAAGCCTAAGGTTCCACCAATTCAGTTACGATAGAATGAAACTTTGCACGCGTGTTCCTTGGAAAATTGCACATCAATTGAGGAATTCAATTTATTAAAGTATGTAACTATTCTAAGACGACAGCCATGACGCCTGACTCAATTCCTGGTCCATGTAGTACTTTTAATCTGACACATTGGTTGCGTTAATTTGAACCCCCCCTCCCCCCACCCCATCCCCAAAGAATAAAAGTTCCAACTCACCAATAGAGATCTGACCAGTCTACTAAAGCCATTACTTACAAACTCTTTACAAAATCCATCCAAATAAGCACTGAAACATATAATACAAATCAATTTATATCCAACAGGAAGTGACATGATAATTATAATCATCTAATCTAAAATAGACTCTTTAAATGTCTGTAATTTTTCCGTATTAATGAATAAAGCAGTACCATATATCTTTTCATCAAACCAACCTTTTGGCCACAAAAATGAAATATTTCTGCCCCAATAGGGCTAATGAAGAAGGGAATACCCCATGCAGAATGTTTGGAAAGAAATTTTGCTCCATTCTTACACCTGCATTCCAACGAGTTTGCAGGTGGACCTCCATCTTTTTTGGTCCCATCCGAGACTAGATGCATTTATCTTTCCAGGCCTTCCGTCCTGCAACACTGATAAGGGGCAACCGGGCTGGAAAAGTGTGAGGAAGTTTCTTGGCAACACCAAGAATGAACCTGTGACCTCCTGGTTAGAGAATAAGCCACTGTGGCTTCCTGTCAACCACTGACATTTCAGCTACACAGGTTGGGATTAAGGTAATAATGTTTCTATGTTTGTTAACATTTTTTTATGATTTAATATAGTCCCAAAATGACCTAGTTTATGTTTATTGGGTGTTAAACCCCATTTCTGTCTTAATTGAATCATGTGAAGCTATGTGGCACATCTAATCATGAAGTCCTACAGATAATATTTGGCACATGGAATGCTAAGATTTACCACCTATGTCCTGCATCTTACAGGCTGTCAAACCGTTTCAACCTTGACAAAGGGATGGGCTCAAAGATTGACACAAACAAAACTGTCATATCATTTGTGTCTCTCGCAGTTGGGATGAAATCATACAAGAAAACCTAAGATTAGACAGACATCCGTACTCCTCGCTACATAAATCATTAGATCGATATGTCATATGAAGTGTCTCTTACTATAATTCTTTCAGGTGCTTTATTTCCACAGAACTCAGAACATCATCAGCTTTAGGTTCTAATAATTCCATTTTCAAGTCTGACAAATCAAAGAGTAGGCTAGATTTAGATTTAGAGCTTGACCAATCTTCTTCTGCATATTTTCCCTCCAACATCATATCAGCCTGTATCAAAATATGTCACAAAAAAATCAACATGGTAGGATGCATCAATCAGCATGGTATTAAGTATGCATCAATCAACATGGTATGAAGCATCAATCAACATGGTATGAAGCTTAATCAACATGGTATGAAGCATCAATCAACATGGTACAATGAATCAATCAACATGGTATGAAGCATCAATCAACATGGTATGAGGAATTAATCAACATGGTATGAAGCATTAATCAACACAATAGTATGATAAATCAATATGCAAATGATTATACATGTATTTAAACATGGAATATTGAACAAACAATTAAAAATATTTAGTTTTTAGCTCCATGGGCCATTGGATATAGGGGGGTTGGATGGCCGAATGGTTAGCACGTGCGTGCGGTATCATAAGACCTGTCATTGAGTCAACTGGCGTGGTTTCGAATCCCCGGCTGTATGTGACAAGGAGTAGGGTCGCCTGTCCAACCTCATGGGTTTTCTCCGGGTCCTCCGGTTTCATCCCACTGCTAAAGACCCCTACGCGCAAGCGAATTGTTGAAATAAAATTAAACCATATGTTAGTCCCGAAATGACCTAGTTTGTGTCGAGTGGACGTTAAACCCCATTTCTCTCTCTCTCTCTCCATTGGATATAGTATTAATAAACTATTTATGTATTGTTTAGCATCATAGACCATTGGATAAGCTAGGTGTATTAATAAACTGAACTTACATGATCTTTAAACATCAGTGTTAACATCTGACTTATTGATGAACAGAAACGGGCCTGTCAAAAGAAAAAGATAACATTTCAATGATATACCAGTATTAGGGTGGTCCTTATTTTGCAAAATTTTAAAAAGGGGCTACCCTCAATTTATGTTGGAACTGATGAGAAAAAAATGAAAAAAATAATTATTTTTTTTATCTATCTTCGATCTTTAACTTTGATCTATCTTTGATAGATGGTAGCCTCCTTTAAAAACATTTTTATTTATTTTTTTTCGTTTTTCTCTTATCAATTCCAACATAAATTGAGGATAGCTCCTTAACTTTTCAAAATTTTGCAAAATAAGGACCACCCTGACCTTTATACATTTTCAAAAATTTAATTCACAGAAGATACAGCGTTTTATGTCCTTAAGATTCAGTATGTAAGAGCTAAATCTGCCAATGTTACATAGATTATAATTTATCGTGTTTACTCTTTAGTTTTAAATGTTACATAAATTATTATTTATCTTGTTTACTATTAAGGTTTAGTTATGTCCCCTCATAGCAAGTGAGGTCATTGATTCGACTTCAGCAGGACTGAGTTCCAATCTCTGATTATTTCTGTTGACGTCATAAACTTATCCTGAAACAGTTAATGATATAAACATTAACTAATATGAATCATCATTACTGACCTTTTCATCCATCCTCAACATTTTCAGAATAACATCGCTGAATTTGGTTTCAAATATCAACCTAAAAAACCAGTATAATTTTTATTAATCTTATTATATTTCTTTTTCTACCCATAAAAGGGTTAATAATATCAAGATATAAATTTACTTTGTTATCAATTCATCTTTAAAGTTTCAAAAAGAGGAAAGGTTTGAGACCATAACAATATTAGAAATTTTGAATTGACAAATATTTTTGAATTTATACATAAAGTACCTTATAAGCATATTGGCCTTCCAATCTGTATTTCTCTCATTATTAGGAGTCATATGTAATAAATTCCTCAAAAACATAAAACAGTTCTCCACCATGGTTAATATCTGAACATCTTTCTGTAGGTTTGAACACTGTCAACAAAAAAGCATATCTTGGAATCATATTCAATGAGAAGCACCATAAATGTAACAAAAATAAATAACTAACCCGATTGTACTATGGACAAGGAACCGAATATAATATCATCGCAGCCATCTTGGATAGTGATGCAATATCAAAAATCGAAGCAGGCCTGTCAATCGATGTACAATTGTCCAAGGAACAAGCATGCCAAATTTCATGTCGATCGTACTTGATTTGGCAAAGTCTAATGCTTTTTCAAAGAGTGTCGGCCCCAATAAAGATAGTTTGCCAGGCAACGAAACATAAACCCACAGCAGCTAAATTGTACAGGCAGTCAACAAGACTTGTTGCATATTTTTTCTTTTGTCAGTAATGAAACATTTATTATAACACTAAATCTGATCAAGAGTAACAACTCGTTAAGTAATTATTATAAAATCATTAGAATTTGTTTGGCTTCTAGTTCTGCCCCATGCTAATGTTTAGTATACAAAACATTCAATATCATGGATTTAGCTGTTCAAGTTATCAAAAATCTTTGAAACTCAATATCATTCTTGTTCGTCTCAAGACCTTAAACTCTGTGTATCAATCTAAAGTCGATTGAATGATCACTTTAGCCTGTAGAGCATTTGCAAGATTTTTTGAAGTTATCAAGGGCCATAACTCTGGCAGTAATTATCAGAAATCCTTGAAAATTTATAGGTGTCTTGTCTTTGTCTCATGACCGTAAACACTGTGTATAAAAAATTTAAAATCAATCTGATGATAACTTTGGGCCATAACTCTGGAAGTAATAATCGTAAATCGTTGAAAATCACTAGGCTTCTTCGTCTCACGGCCTTTAACTTTAACACTGTGTATAAATCTAAAGTCAATCGGACATTAACTTTAGCCTCTAGAGCATCCACAAGACATTTCAAAGTGATCAAGGTCTTAACTCTGGCAATAAGAGAGAGAAATGGGGTTTAACATCCACTCGACACAAACCAGGTCATTTTGGGACTAACATGTGGTTCAATTTTATTTCAATAATTCACCTGGGCGTAGGGGTCTTTGGCCGAGCGAGAAAACCCACAAGGTTGGACAGACAACCCTACTCCTCGTCACTTACAACCCAGGGAATCGAAACCGCGTCAGTTGACTAATGACAGACCTTATGATGCAACACGCACATGTTATCTATTCGACCACCCATTCAGCACTGTTCTTAATCGGCTGCTTTTTGTCGGCTTTAACCGTTGGATGTTTGATCTAGGTTATTGGTAAAACAATGAACAGGCCAGTATAGTATATCAATCTACTGCTGGCTAAATTACAACGGATTAATTAAGAAGTCAATCAACATGCTTGTTGGCTACCTTAGTGAGAATTGGCCATGTGGTTCATAATCCAAGTAATTAGCACATTTAACAGTAATTTTGATAAGTCACGGGGTGAAGGAAGACGATCTTGGCATGGTATGCAAATCGTGTGTCTTCCACGCTCTGTATGAATTCCAGGTACCGGTAGATATTGAAATAATAACTGGATCAAACATTGATGGATTCACTGACCAGTAGTTAGGTAAATTTAAATCTTCATTGAATATAATAGAACACCGAATACATTTAAAGTCAATTGGATATTAACTTTAGTCGCTAGAGCATCTACAAGCAATTGTGGACGTGGGCATATAAAAACAATATAAATTAGATTAGTATCCCCAAAAAGCCCTTGAAGCAGCTTGAGCCCCGTCACGTTTTGATTTTTCGTAACTAGCATCTGCCATTCTTAACTGATAAACCGCCATGCTTTGGATTTTATTCAACTTGTCATTATACTTTATTAGATAAATGTCTGTTGTCTTAGTTTAGCATAAATTAACCTTTGATTATGAATGTAATTTTACACATAGCCGTTAATTAACTAAATAATCTGTATTTTAAACCAGTGAAGAATCCTGTCACTGAGGGAAACCCTGTATGTAATATCACAGAATTACTAAATGCAACTTTTACCACTTTAGTAGTTGTATTTATCATGGTAACAACAGCTTTGATAAACATCTTGTCAATACAGCAAGCTCTGGTTTGTTCAAACAATCTGTCCATATCTAACTTGAGACCACCCTGTATTTTATTTGGATGACTGACGAGAGATTCCAATGGATCGGTCAATAATTTCATTAAACTGAAATTATAAAAGATAGAACATTTATAACAGATTCAATGTGTTTGTACAATGGTAAATTACAAATAACTAGCTAGTTTTAATCTTGGTTCTCAGATATAACAAATTGTATGGAAAATACTCTTTACCAGTTCATGGTACATATCTATGGAATGAGCTTCCTCGACAGATGCGCTTGACAATTCTATTTTCAAGTTTTAAGACAACACTAAAGACACATCTGTTTACCAAATATCTGTGCAAGAACAAATAGTTGACCTCACTGTAAAGCGCTTAGAAATGACCAGCGGACATAATTTAGCACTATATATATATAAGACAATTTATTATTATTATTATTATTACTCATCAAGTGATTTAAAGCCGTGCCATTATTATTAGATTGCCATTATAATCTAATCATTGTCTAATATCTGAAACTATTTTAATATTGTTATAATGAATAAAATAAAAGTAAATGGTTTATTTTTACCATTACCACAGACATTTGACAACAATCTCATAACACTGTGTTACATGTATTTATCAACTGTGATGATATGCCACATCCTAACAAATAGCCAACAATCAGACATAGATAAACCTCAAGTATTTTATGCAAACATAAAATTCTGATATTCATCTATTAAATAATAAACTTACTGAATGGCCTCTTCAAAAATCTCCAAATCATCAGTTGATTTTATAATTGGCACCAAATCCTGAAAAAAATTATTCATAGTTATGTAACAGTCAAACTGACAATATTCAATAAAGATTGCACCTGTATCAACTTTGTTATTAACTTTACCAATTATGTAAAAGTGTATGACAATACCAAAAAGTGTTATCTAACTGTTTGACAATATCAACAACTGTTAAACATACATTATGCAAGAGCTAAATCTGCCAATTGCAGGTCTTTCTTTAGGCCTGAAATGTTATCTAAATTATTAATTAGACATTAAAGGACAATATTGGTGTCAGTCATTATCACATATGTGATAGAACTGGTTAAACACGTTCCAGATATTATTTTATCACAGAGATCATTACTACGATAGATGAGTAATGAAGGGTTCAACAAACGGAAGTGACGAATGCAAAAGGAAACCACGAATTGTCCTTCTATACAACTGACTGAAGTGATGAGTGATAACAGATACATGGGCGAATTTCTGCTCACTAATAATTTCTTCGAAGACCAAAAGTTGTTATGTGAGACTGTGAGAATGTCACTTTGAATAAAATTTTATAAACAAAACTGAATTCTCCGTGTGACATTTTCTTCTCGAACTACCCAGAGGGACATAACTCTATGAATAGGGACTATTAAACCGGAAATAGGAAATCAAGTAGTACCACTCACGTTGCGAGACATCAAGTAATTATATCATATTCATTTTGAAAGAAATAAATCCAGTGTATCCCCCACGCATTGTAAATAAAATATAAAAAAATAAATACATGTTAATTGTTAACGTATTGTAAAATGATAAATCAAAGTAAAAATTCCCATAAAAAATATTATTGTTTATATCGCGTGTGTCTAGTTAATAACTTAATCAAGGTGCGCCCGATTGAACAAAAATAGTAATACACGATAAAAAGCAGACGAAATTGTTTTCTAACAAAGATTTCTAACGTAACAAAAAAAATAACAATTAAAATGAGTGGGGCTTCGGAAGTCACTGTCAAGAATTGGCTTCAGACATAAGACCTAACTAAATGTCTACATCACATTCACAAACTGTCATAAGTACTTGTGGCAGTGCTAAAAAATCTAAGAATAGTCAGAATGGAATCTAATCATATTTGTTATGAATTAAAGTAATATCTTGTTATTTAGGTGTTTTTCGTGGAAACTGAAAAACTGCTAATAAATTTTTAAATTTGCGAATCAAATTTGGCAAAATTAGACTTTTTGATTAGCAGTACTGCTAATCAACTGTGAAAAATTACCAACCGCCCTGTATTTGGAACAGGTTTAACCGGTTCTATCACATATATAATAATGTGATAATGATTGACACCAATCTTGACTGTCCTTTAACTAACTTATCCAGACCATAATCAACTCTCGATGTCATCGCTAGCCTGCAATATCTACTGGATTAGAACTCGGTCTGTTGCTTCTTATTAAATCAAAAGATAGGTTGCCAGACAACAAAACATACGCCCACAGCAGCTATATCGTCCAGGCAGTCAACAAGAGTTGTCGCATATTTTTACTTTTTTCGATAATGAAACATTTATAATACATTAAAATCTGATTAAGAGTAACAACTCATTAAGTAATTATCAGAAAAACATTAGGATTTGTTTGGTTTTTATAAAGTTCTGCCCCATGCTAACGTTTAATATACGAAACTTTTAACATCATGGATTTAGCTGTTCAAGTCATAAAGATTCATTGAAAATCAATATACTTGATCGTCTCAAGATCTTAAACTCTGTGTATCAATCTGAAGTCAATCGGATGATAACTTTTTGAAGTGATCAAGGGCCATAACTCTGGCAGTAATTATCAGAAATCGCTGAAAATCAATAGGATTCTTCATCTCATAACCTCAAACACTGTGTATAAATTTAAAGTCAATTGGATATTAACTTTAGCCTCTAGAGCATCCACAAGATTTTTTAAAGTGATCAAGGACCATAACTCTGGCAGTAATTATCGGAAATCGCTGAAAATCAATAGGATTCTTCGTCTCATGACCTTAAGCACTGTGTATAAATTTAAGGTCAATCAGATATTAACTATGCCCTTTAGAGGGTCCACAAGATTTTTCAAAGTGATCAAGGGCCATAACTCTGGCAGTAATTATCCGGAATCGTTGAAAATCAATAGGCTTCTTCGTCTCATGACCTTAAACACTGTGTATAAATTTAAAGTCAATCGGATATTAACTTTAGCCTCTAGAGCGTCCACAAGATTTTTCAAAGTTAATAAGGGCCTAACTCTGGCAGTAATTATCGGAAATCGCTGAAAATCAATAGGCTTCTTCGTCTCATGACCTTAAACACTGAGCATAAATTTAAAGTCAATCGGATAATAACTTTAGTCTCTAGAGCGTCCACAAGATTTTTCAAAGTGATCAAGGGCCATAACTCTGGCAGTAATTATCGGAAATCGCTGAAAATCAATAGGCTTCTTCGTCTCATGACCTTAAACACTGTGTATAAATTTAAAGTCAATCGGATATCAACTTTAGCCTCTAGAGCGTCCACAAGATTTTTCAAAGTGATCAAGGGCCATAACTCTGGCAGTAATTATCGGAAATCGCTGAAAATCAATAGGCTTCTTCGTCTCATGACCTTAAACACTGTGTATAAATTTAAAGTCAATCGGATATTAACTTTAGCCTCTAGAGCCGGACCGCCAGACGGACGGACAGGGGCGACAACAATATACGACCACATTTCAATTTGGGCGTATAAAAATGGATAATCGAGACTATGTTTTTTATCATACCAATTTTAGTAATGTTGATTGAGGCTAGGCCCAAAATTCAATCACTAAATACATGGTTCAGGGTGGATCAATTTGAATGAAATTTTCAGCAAATTCCCTTTACATTATCTAGTTTTTAACTATTATAGTGAGAACTACCAGCTCTTTTTCTAATCCCCCATAATGTATCATTAATTAATTGTTTAAGAGCATCAACAGTTATTTAACTGTTTGACAGTATCAACAGTTATCTGACTGATAGTATCATCAACTGTTATTTAACTGTTTGACAGCATCAGTGTCCGATTTCACGAAGCATTCAATATTAAGCTTACATACATGTGAATTGTGCAGTTAATAAGTTAATTATACAAATCTGCTAACCTTTCCTGTATGCCACTTTGTGGAATGGGCCCCAAAGCATTTAAAGATAAATACATACCTTACGAAATATATCTAATGTCGCAAGAACTTGTCGTGATCTTAGAGTCTCATCATCGTCTTTTAAAATCATAATGATCTCCTGTAATACCTCTGTTAAAAAGAAAAAAGAGAGATCATATTGTGAAGAAGACAAATAACCTTTGTGCCAGCAGTATCTTCAGCTTGAGAAATCCAAATCCAAACTACCACTACAATGACACAAGCCACAACAGGGTGTAAAACTAACATATGGTTGTGGGTAAATTGATTTTTTTAAACTGGGACAAATCCAGTGTAACTTTTGATATAGTTAAACACAAAATGTAATAAAGAGACAATAAACATAACTTCATGATCAAAATAGTACAAATAAAGACATAAAAAAAAAATACCCCCGTTTTTGCCGTCTAAAGTTTTTCCCCCTTGGTGGTGTTGAAAAAAGGTAAGTATTTTGATACTGAAGACATGGATTGAAATCTACAAGTTGTATCTTAAAGTGAAGGTAAGGGATGTTTTTATCCATCAGAAATGTCAAACTCTAACAATCTTAATATTTTTCAATGAATAAAATCCTTTTAAATATGGTAACTAACGTTACAAATTCTGTTCCAAAAAAAAGATTTTTTATTGCATCGAAAGTGTGACTCACCACCTGTATCTATAGTTATGTTTATTAGCAAATTTAGGACAAATATCAATTGGACATGTAATGTCTGTAAAATTTGTATTTTTGCACAAAAACAGAACAAGTTATCTTTTCTATTACAAAATTTGAAAGATGAATTATTAAAGATGTACATTAGTTAAGAGTTTAATAAAGAGTTGGCCATTCTTGCTATAATAATTCAAAAATAGATGACAAAAGATAGGTTGCCAGGCAACAAAACATACGCCCACAGCAGCTAAATCGTCCGGGCAGTCAACAAAAGTTGTCGCATATTTTTACTTTTTTCAGTAATGAAACATTTATAATACACTAAAATCTGATTAAGAGCAACAACTCATGAAGTAATTATCAGAAAACCATTAGAATTTATTTGGTTTTTATAAAGTTCTGCCCCATGCTAACATTTTGTATACAAAACTTTTAATATCATGAATTTGTTCAAGTCAAAACAATTCATTGAAAATCAATATACTTGTTCGTCTCAAGATCTTAAACTCTGTGTATCAATCTGAAGTCAATCGGATGATAACTTTAGCCTTTAGAGCGGAAATCGTTGACAATCAAGGACCATAACTCTGGCAGTAATTATCGGAAATCGCTGAAAACCAATAGGCTTCTTCGTTTCATGACCTTAAACACTGTGTATAAATTTAAAGTCAATCGAATATTAACTTTGGCCTCTAGAGCGTCCACAAGATTTTTTGAAGTGATCAAGGGCCATAACTCTGGCAGTAATTATCAGAAATCGCTGAAAATCAATAGGATTCTTCATCTCATAACCTCAAACACTGTGTATAAATTTAAAGTCAATTGGATATTAACTTTAGCCTCTAGAGCATCCACAAGATTTTTTAAAGTGATCAAGGACCATAACTCTGGCAGTAATTATCGGAAATCGCTGAAAATCAATAGGATTCTTCGTCTCATGACCTTAAGCACTGTGTATAAATTTAAGGTCAATCGGATATTAACTTTGCCCTTTAGAGCGTCCACAAGATTTTTCAAAGTGATCAAAGGCCATTACTCTGGCAGTAATTATCGGAAATCGCTGAAAATCAATAGGCCTCTTCTTCTCATGACCTTAAACACTGTGTATAAATTTAAGGTCAATCGGATATTAACTTTGGCCTCTAGAGCTTGTGGACGCCGGACAGACGGACGGACGGACGGGGGCGACAATATACGACCACATTTCAATGTGGGCGTATAAAAAAGAAAATTTCAGTCCAATTACTTTATTCTGAACAGAGGTGTCACAGTTGGAAGTTTGAACGAGAAATAGGTATCAACCTTGTTCGCACCGTCTAAGAGAATTGTTGATTGTTTGATCGACAGACGATAACTCTACCCACATATTCTCGATTATCATGTAACATTCTCAATGGCTATGATACCCTCGCTTTGTAGGCCTTTCAAAACCAGTTTCCGGTGTCGGCATCTGTGACTAACGGTAAACATTAGCTTGGTCAGCCATTTCTTGTTTAATTTTAAATGAACGACTGTTTAAATCCAAGCTGTATCCAAGCCATCCGAGGGTCTACAGAGTTGATTTTGAGCTTGTCGTGTAAATAAAGGTCTAATTAATTATTTCTATAACATCTGAAACCTAAATAAATACTTGCACTAGGCAGATTTGCATAATGTATGTTTAATACAAATTGGAAAAAATTTATTTAAATTTTGCTGCCTTTCAGTTTCGTGGCTTTGTCATACAGTGAAAATATAGGATCTGGAAGAGTTGTTATAAAACAGGCGTTCTGGATGGCGTGAGGAATTAGCCAATGAAACCATCTGTTACGGCAACTTCTTGGCGTGCCATGCAAGGAACTGTAGGTAAACCACTAGAAAAGTCAATGGTGACAGATTAATCAATGTCTGGCGTCATAGGGTCAAAAGTCGCTGTTTTTTTATTGTACCGACTTTAGTAATGATGATCGAGGCTAGGCCTAAATTCTCGGTTCAGAGTAGATCAATTTGACTTAAATTTTCAGCAAATTTTTTAACTATTATCTAATCTCCCATACTTTAAATGTCCAATAATCATTAAATGTCAAATGACCCAGAGACTTTAAAAGTATTTAGACAAATACAGTTTGCTTTTGCACCTCTCAAAGAGCTTAATTCTTTATGTTCTATGGAATGAAATGTGATGAGATCATTCCTAAAGATTAAGATAATTTTAAACAAAAGAAAAAAAAATAAATGGTAATGCAATGGTGTTAGACATGGTTCTGCGTTGAAACTTGTATCCGAATATCTGTTCACGAATATAATCTTGCGCATATTCGGATGCTTTAACTATTCGTGCTATTTGATGTTTTTTTCATAACTGTGTTATTTTGAAACGACCCCTCTCGTCGCTGCTAATTTCTTATTATAGGGTTAAATGAGCAATAATTTCCTGCAAATAAGGCTTGAAACTTATCAACACATCTGAAGCTTTTAGTCTATCTACCCCACACAACTGTTTTATTACTTTGCCGCTTTATTCATAAGCAGCACAGTTCCCAGTCTTGCACTTTGCCGTTGATTAGAGCTGTAGCTATTCAGCGTGTTCACACAAAGTCACGCGGTATACACATGGTCTTTGTTTATTTCCTCTGCTAAAATTAGATAGCCATGATTGGCCAAATCTTATGTTAGTATTCCAGCCACCTTGGTACTATCGGAGCGTGTGTTTTCCCCAGCAGGAAATATAGTTACCGCTAAAAGACCAAATTTAATATTCTTAAAAGACCATTTAATATTCTTATGTGAGATTTTAAAAAATAAAAAGCTGTAGCTAGTTTTAGACAGTAATCAATTAAAACTTGTTTGAACAGTTCATGCATGTTATATAAAACTTTTTGTGGTAAAGTTTTACTCTCGACAGTTTGATTATTTTGAGCTGACCCCTGTCTTTCCAATGTCGGCAGTCTGAGTCGGTCACAGGTTGTTTCTAACAAAATATAAAAGGGTTGATGATTCCAAATAAATTGGTTCGGATAAATAAAGTTTAGAAAAATTATGAAATGATTTTTCTTGTTATTTAGACAATGTTTTAAAATTAAACTGTTCTGGGTATAAAAGTTTGACGAAAGCCTTCTCCCTCTCCGCATGCGGCCATATTAATTTTTCAAAACGATGGTGTGATCGTTTGATACGTTCTGCATTAAGGTTATTAGTGACAATGACAATATAGGCCATTAAAAACATTAGCATTGCCAAAAGGATATCTTATAATTCAAATATTCTATTTGAATAATTATCTTATGGTTTATATTAGCCTTTATACGGACCACACTCCGTACAATAGACGAATTTGCATGCGCTTAAAACGTCAAAACTAAATTTTAAATTACACACAAATAGTCTGAATATGTTCAGATAGAGCAGACGGATTGCCGAATATCAAAATATGCCCAGAGTTTCAACACTACTGCTACCACCTTCCTACATCAACCAGTCCAATAAATATAAGGAGGCACAATGAAAATGTACTACTGATCTGACTGGATCTCACATAGACAAAGCACCTTAGTGATTAAAAATTTCTTAATTTTGGACAAGTTTGAAAAATTTGGTTCCATTGCTCTTACCTGCACATTCAGAAGATGTTTCATAACCTGTTGGTGTTACATAACCCAAATACGACTGTAAAGACCCCAAGCCATCTAAATTCATCATCTGCCACTCCATCTTCTTTAATGCTTTTGGGATGCAACAAATGTGAAATACACTGTAATATAAGAAATAGCTAAGTTTATTATATTCAACATAAAACATTGAATGGTATTGATGATTGATCTGATGTGTTATTTCAATTAAAAGATTAAGCAGCAGTTTATTAAATTTATTCGACTGTTATGCATTGATTAAGCATTATGTATTTATTGATGTCAACAGTGGTATTATCTATGGATATCAAATTTTGAACGAACACAGATACATGTAATTATCTGATTAGTATAAGTTGGATATTATTGTAGCTCAGTTATATTCTACATAATTTACTACAAATTATGAAGAAAGATAAGTTACAGCAGCTATGTCTTCCTACTAGAGTAGAAGTTCACAAAGGTTGTCACATACTGTAGTTATTCTCTTGTAGATAATGGGATCACTTACAAGACAATAACCAACAGTTGCCAGACAAGATATGCGCACATTTTGCAAGAGATGAACAGAGAACAAGCTAAACACAAAAGAGATTTTTTTGTACAATCAGGGGACATAATCAAGTTATGGTCTGATATGCATGAATATCAAAAGTAACTGAGATCTTTTGAATATAATAATATATTTTAAGTTTCATCAAGATCTGATAAAAATTGTGACTTCTAGAGGATCCACAACCTTGGTATTACACACTTTTACACTATTTGTGTACAAATAGCAGTCATTTTGTCAAGCAGTTTCGGTCCGATTTTCACGAGATTTGAACTCAACCATCATTAGTGCGTAACGGTGATATATTTAAACATTTTTTAAATCGGATAAAAATTTGGACCTCTAGAGGGACCACAAGCTAATAACACGATTTTTCGTACAATCAGGGGCCATAATCCAGGAAGTTAGGGTCCGATATGTGTGAATATCGAAAGGAACGTAGATCTTTGGGTTATCAACACACACTTCAAGTTAAGAAAAAATAATTATTAAAGTCGGTCAAAAACTCGCGAACAAGTAGTTTCCAAGATACAATCAAATTGGAAAAAAGAATAATAATAATATTCACGGTCACTTCCTGTTACATGGGTTATGTAAATAATTTCAACAAGAAAAAATAATTATTAAAGTCGGTAAATAACTCGCTAAGTTATAAGCCTTTAAATATAACCAGAAACATTTCCCCGGGCGAAAATATAATCTGAAAAAAAAAGGGAAATAACAGAGACTTGTATTGCTGTGATCGGGTTGACTTTGAATGGAATTTATATTTTTGGAATCATATTGTCCTCAGCTATTCGAATATGTAGGTCAAATTAGGTAAATTTTGAAAATTACGGAAATAAATTGTCCTGTAAAGAACTTTGTCGGCACGAAAAAGGTCAAAGGCGAAATTCGAAATTTTCAAATACCAAAAATTCGACCCTGATCTCGGTTATCCAGAAATGTCTTCATTTTGATTGTTGTTTTTAAGACCCTACTTAGCTGTTTTGAATTTTAGTTGTTTTAGTTTATGACTGTGCAATGACATCCCGTTGATGATTCATTGTTCTATTATTGTCAATAAATTATGAATTTATATTAATATTCTTATTTTCATGTATATTATGTTTTGTATGTGTTTCAGATCTATCAAGAAAGGTGAAGAGAGAGGCAGTGACACTGGCAGATCATTTTTTGGAATTTATCCGGTTGGCTGTACACCTATTGCATGAAAAAAAAAGAAAACTGGATTTAATATTGTCATCAATCTCAGGTGACAAGTAAGCAGCACCACGCTTACACTATTTTTCAAATTTTAGATTTGTATTCCTAACTGCCGACCGACACATGTCTAATTTTCCACAAATAGGCCTACATGTATTTAACTAGCTACTATACTTAGAAAATTTTAAAGGCACATCACATATGAAAAGGGATATTTCATCTTAATGCTGTTACCCTTTCTTTCAAAAACTGAGATTGTTAGGTTTCAAACAAAATTATCTATTTGAAATGATGAGACATGAATGAAAATCTAATTATATTCATGTTTTATACATTTATTCACTTGGTAAGCCTGTAACCAACTCTCTAGAGCAGTGTCTGGCTTAGATATTGCCTCCAATATGTTTGTTAAACCATAATATGACCGCACTCACAGAGGCTGAGTTGACTGACAGGCTGAAAATGAAGACTTTATTATCATGGCAATGCTACTTGACAACAGAGAATATGAACAGTTCAGTTTAGGCTATTTTTTGCCAGAATTTGATTCATAATTTTGCTCAGAAAAAAAATAATTTGAAAGAAATTTTCAATATATTCAATTTACATTATTTTGTTACATAATAAAAGGAATATATTGAAGGTTGTTTTGATTTCATAGTATCTCACAGTAGGCAGGTTCAAAGAAGTAATAATAATTTATATTCATTAAAATATTTATTATGCAGTAATCACATTGAATTATAAGTATTTATATATTTTACATGTAGATTTCAGAGTATATAATTAAAAAAGTAGTAAATGGACAGTGTATGCAGTAGAAAAGGGATAAAACATACAATTATATTCCAGCACTAATGAGGACTATAATTTTAACTCGTTTAAAAGATAATGGAAAAAAGATATCTGTGCTGTTGAACATCATTTAGCACCCATTCCACCACTGTCTACAACAGATCTTGTAAAGTCAAAGCTGTCAAGGAAGGAAGAATAGAACCGTGAAGGTATGTAACCTTTATATTATCCAAAAGCATCTGGAAATTTTTCTCTGATATAGCCCACACATAGCATGGAATCACCACTCTGACCCATGGGCCTAAATATCCAAATTTCCACAAAACATATTTTCTGTATGCTGTATGTTTGTTTGCTCTGTTAATATCCTCATTAACTGGTTACACTATAACATCTCGATATAATAGACAAGCTAATGATAATACAACTTCATCTAGCACTAACACTTGTATATCCTGAAATAAAGAATTCATTACATTAGTCTTGTAATTACAGGAATAGGCTAATGCATTCATGGGGGTCAGGTGGCTGAAAGATCATAAGGACTATCTTTGAATCAAGTGGCACCGAATAGTGTTGTTTGTCCAACCTCGTGGGTTTTCTCTGGGCACTCTGTTTCTCCCCACTGCGAAAGAACCATATGCACAAGCGAATCATTGAAATAAATTTGAACCTACTTTTTGTCGATTTTTTGAAAACTTTGATCCTTTATTTCTCCAAGGGGAGATAACTTAGAAAATTTCTAATGACATCTTTGAAGTTGGATCAACCAGATCTTCATTCAAAATTTCATGAAAATCGTACCAATATTCAAAAAGTTGTCATGTTGGTTTTTACATCCCATCCGGGATGAGAGGTCAATGACGTAATTTTCCAAATTCGAAAATAGCAGATTTCAAGTAATGTTTTATGGTACTCAAAAGATAAAGAATTAGTAAAATAGATAAAAAAAATCACAAAGTTACAGCTCTGTAGGTCAATTTTTTCATCAGTAAACTTTGGTAATTTCGGATTCGTAAAACGTTTTGAAAATATATTCATTCCATAGCCACCACCCATTTTGGGGAGGACGCTAACCAGAAATGTATTAATTTCGGAAATAAGAGACAAATTTACGAAACAACGGCCTATTCCGAGTATTTCTAAGCCGTTAATGCAGATTTCCACTCATAAACAACTTTGTTGAAATTTTCAAATGCCAAAAATTTGACACTGATCCTGGCTACCCAGAAATGTATTCATTTCAGAAATAGGAGACGGATTCAACAAACTACGGCCTAATGTGTTTATTTACAAGCTCGTTAATGTAGATTTTTCTTTATTTTCCATATTCAATTCAAAATCCTGGCCATCAGTTACCTAAATCAAAATTCTGCTCTGAACGTTTTTTTAGGCATTCCTTCAAGGATTCCAAAAATGTAACTCCCATGTCTGTAAGTAATATATCGCAAAATAATAATAAGGACTTCTAGTTTTACCGATAGACTTCATTGCTTGTGAATGCATCAGTAATTTCTTAGCAAGTACAGGAAAAAATAATTCAAGGCAATCTGACGTATATTTTTTCAATTTTTTTGAAAACTTTGATCCTTAACTTCTCCATAGGGAGATAATTTAGAAAATTACTAATGACATCTTTCAAGTCGCATCAGTAAGATCCACTTACATTTGTTTGTGTATTAAATTAACATATAGTATTTCATCAATCCTGTAAAAAGATGGTAATTTGTCACAGAAATGAAATGAAATGGGGTTTAACGTCCTACTGTTCTGCTCCTATACTGGGCTAATGAAGACGGAATTTGTCACAGTCTTCATATAATTTTTGTTGTATTGTAAAATAAAGCTTATGTTTATCTGCTTCAATCTTGATTATTTTTCGGCTGTTAAAGTCAAAACATCAGCCCATGCACCAACTGCCCTCTCCCCCAAGAAACAGGTTTAGAAACACCCATGTTGCCACCAGTAGTTGATGCCTTTCCATATCTTTTGCCTTTGCTTGCACAAGAAGTTGAAAGTTTAGGACTCCTACTTCGACTAGTTCCTTCTTTATCCAGATCAGAATCAATCTGAAATAACAATAAAATATTTTGTTTAGATGTCCATAAATAGATTTACTCTACATAGATGTATCATTAGAATGATGCAGACAAAGCTTTTTTAAGTAAAAACATTTGACAGTGACTAACTTATGATTTATTTTTACATGTGGAGTTGCATGTTAGTTTATCCAGGCAAGGATTATCAAAGAAAATGTAAATTATAATCATTGTCCTATTATATACTTCTAATGTTATATTTTAATCAAAGAGCCTCGGCTCCAGAAAGAAGAAAACAACAAGAGCAACAACAAGATGAATAGCTCTTGAGACCTAGTTCCTGGTAGAGTGTGCAACTAAATTTATCATTGTATTATCATGTCCTATATCACTTTTATCATTTCATCTAATTGATTTAATGCATGCTTATCACCACACCTTTTACCAAAAATACATGTAGGCATGAAAACTTACCCTCTCACTCATTTTGTCCACTTGTAATAGAAATCCAGAAATTTTAAAACAGAAATTCTGATGATATTACAGCATACAAAATGTTAAAAAAAAAAAGCGATGTTAGATAAAAAAAAAAAAAAAAAAGATCTCAACATTTTGTAGATGAGAAATACACAAACGCATACAAACCCACATCAAATGCCATTCAAAGGTGTTGATAAGTGTCTGTTCTGATTAGTAAAACAGACTGATATTTGGTAATGGTAATTAGGTCAATTACGCTGTGTTGATGCTAATTCAGTATCATACGCTCTTCTGTAACTTTGTGCCAATTGGGTTTACAATTATAAAAATTACAGAAATCAATAATCAACATATAGCTATTATTACACCAAATTGCAACCCCATTGGATCACTGCTTCCTATTTTGTAAGCCACAGAAGTCACGTAGGCCTACCCTATATAAAAAGACTGACAAGAAGTTGGCCATAATTATTTACAGTAGGCCTACAGTCTGTTGGATTTGGTCCATTTCTTTCAAATTGTAAAATAAAATCCTATTGCAGACGTTTCTATTCTTATCTACATATTAAGTCTTATTTGTAGTAAAAAATAAAAGTAATACGAATTGAATAGCACCCTCCGTCTCAAACCCGATAACGGTATCTTAGTCATAGATAATGTTACCGGTACTTGACAATCGAGAATATGAAGGCGGAGTTCAAATCTGTCAATCAAACGATCAGCAATTCTCGGAGACGGGGCGGGGACAGTTGATGCCCATTTCTAGTCAAAACTTCCAACAGTTATAACTTTGTTCAGAATAAAGTAATTTGATTGAAATTTTCAATATATTCTTTTTCATCATCTATTTTTGAACTGTTATAGCAAGAATGGCCAGCTCTTTATCAAAACCTTACATTATGTATTTTTAAAAATCAAAACCTTACATTATGTATTTTTAAAAATCAAAACCTTACATTATGTATTTTTAAAAAATCTGTTTCTGAAATGGAATTCCTCAAATTTACCTGTTTTCTCAAAAAAAATCACTGCCTGTACATTATAATATTATGCATTCCTCAGTCATTTAACGTAAGGAAAATATTTCTTTATGAGATTATCCAGCTGCACTATCACGATACAGATATTGTCATCGACTGACTGAATTTAAAGGAGCTAAATCGCTAATAGTTTGGATCTAGAAATTGACACAAATGGGTCGCAACGCATATAATAATGCAATGTGAATGTATATAAACTGATTTACATTCAATCGTTTCTGTTTTTACTGCAATTTCTAATCAGTTATGTACAGCGAAATACGCCAGAAGTCTCAATCCAAAAAGGCAATCTCTAGTGTCTGGTTATTCCACTGTATACTGATAGTATTTATTGTGCATGCTCTCCAGATAAGAATATGGCGTCACCGTTTGACATGACTTGTGGAATATATCTAACCTCTTTCTACGAGTCCCTTGTTAAAAATGGCGCTGAAATGCACCATGGTACACGATGTTTATTTTGTCTTAATTAATGGATATCAGAAGCCCATCTTTTCCTCGTAAGATCACAACATCAATGTTGATTTAAATTGACAAATAATTCGTGTTTCCAATGTCGAAGATTTTGGATGATATTGAGTTGGAGAGACTTAGCTACTTTAAAAAAAACATTATCACCGTTCATTTTTGGATCGCTGCAGACATACATCAAATGGAAGTACATGTAATTATTGGAGGTGCGAAGGGTGAACAGATTTAGGTATATACGTATTACATGTTTACCATCCATTCGACTGTGAATAGAATTATCATCATCAGACACAAAATACGAGTTTCTTTGATATAAGGCTAAAACGTAATACTAATAGCCCCAATGAGTGCTACATTGTAACAATGTCTGATCATTTTCACTATATATTTGCTAAATTTCAAGGCCAATGTCGACTTTTATATAACATAGAATCCAGGATGTGTTGTTCTCATGTTCGTGACATAATAAAATAGGCTAGGTAGAGTATTAACTGCTGTCATACAAACGTAGGTCCAGTCGATCTTCGATAAGCAACGTACTCACCTATTTATAATCTACACAATAAACAATATGGCACGTCTGTAATATGGTATAATATTATTGAAAACCATATTAACCCCCCCAAAATAAAGGTGGTTTTGTGATGGTCATTAACCCGTCCAATCGTCTGGTTGACCAAGACATCGTTTGTCACAACATCAATGAGGTTGAACTAATCCGCCTGGTGGCGCTGTAAGGATAATAATAATAATGCTTTATTACAGAACTGCATGGTAAATACACGAGTATGGTAAAGCATACAACGTACAATACAATAATAAACATCAAGAACATAGAATAAGGCTTACAGGGGTTTCTAAAAGTATATTAAATTATATTACTAATGCTTGTAAAGTATATATTAGGCCTTACATAGCAAATGGTATTAAATGTCTGTTCTTAAACATTTCATACATAATACAAATGTCGAATGTTGAAACATCTTCATCTTGTATTATCAACGCAAAAGCTTTTTTATATTTTTGAATCTGACTAAAACTGAATATTTAAGAAACCACCAAAAAAATAAAAATAGGTTAAGAAATAAAAAAGTTATTGCACTTGATGGTTGTCAGTATACACTTTTTTTTTTAAATATGCCAAACAAGTGACCGAAGACCATTTCTCAGCAACTATTGAAGATATTGGCATCAAATTTTCAGGAAATATCCTTCCGACCATTAACTATCTATTTGAATTTTTAAATTTGGGCTATATAATTTATTTGTTTTGATATGGGGTCTGCAACATGGATAAAAAAAACAAACACCCAAATTTGGTTAATTTGCGTTGAAGACTTTTTTAAGATAGAATTCACATATGATAGACCTCAAATTTCGGGTATTGCTTTATGCCGGCAGAATGAATCCTTATAACAACTTCCTATTGAATGCAGATGCTAAAATGACTGACTTCGAAGACAACAAATATTGCGATTAACGTTATCAAACATAAGGAAAATCTTCGTGTAAGAAAATTAAAAGTTGCCGGGAAAAAGGAAGATTTGGTTGAGCGGTAAGGAATACGAGGAGCAACACTCAAGTGGATCACAAACTGTCTTATGCAGCGGAAGATGAGCGCCATAGTTGAAGGTGAGCGATCCCGGCAGGTTGATGTAGCCTCCGGCGTCCCACAAGGCACAGTACTCGGGCCTCTACTATTCCTCTGCCATATCAAAGACCTCCCAGATAGAGGTCTTTTTGCCGATGACTGTCTGCTATAGCGTGCCATCTACTGAATGACAGACCATATACAACTCCAAAAGGACCTAGATAACCCCCAAGAATGGGCTGACGAATGGGGCATGAAATTTAACGCCAAGAAATGCTATATTCTTACAACCAAAAGCAAATCCAATTTCTTCTACAACATCAACAACAACATACTCCAACAAGTCCAGAACAACCCTTACCTTGGAATTACCTTATCAGATGACCTTAAATGGAAAACTCACATCAACAACGTTTGCAAAAAAGTCAACTCAACACTAGGATTTCTCCGCAGGAACCTAAGACAGTGCCCTAAGCCATGCAGTAAGAACGCCTATATTGCACTAGTCCGATCCAAACTGGAGTACGGAAGCGTCGTCTAGGACCCCTACTTGAAAGGAGACATCGACCGCTTGGAGAGGATCCAAAGATCAGCAGCACGATTTATAACGGGCGACTATAAATCCAGACAGGAAGGATGCGTCACTAATATGCTCAAGGAAATGGAACTGCAACCACTTGAGGAGGGACGCCGTCACCAGCGATTGACGTTCCTATTTAAGGTGGCTGAAGGGCACGTACCAGCCATTAACATTGATCTTGATTTCTAGTCCAGGTATAGAAATTTCTCTGAACTTAACATGTATTTTCGGGCACTAAAGTTCATTGACATATCAACGTAGCAGTCTTTTGCATCAAATTCACTTTTTATACGCCCACAATTTGTTCGTGGACACTACAGGTCACAATTCTTATCAGATTTTGACAAAACTTGAAATATAGGTTTATCTCCAAAAGATCTCGTTTCCTTTCGATATTGGGATGTATCGAATCTTCACAGATTATGACCCCTGATTATACGAAAAATCATGCTTTTAGCTTGTGGACACTCTAGGGGTCACAATTTTCATCTGATTTTGATGAAACTTTAAATGCATGTTTATAACCCAAAGATCTTGGTTCCTTTCCATATTTGCGCATATCGAATCGTAATTTCCTGAATTATGACCCCTGATTGTACGAAAATTCGCGTTTTTAGCTTGTGGTCCCTCTAGAGGTCACAATTATTATCCGATTTAAAAAACCGTTTGAATATATCACCGTTACACTGTAATGATGCTCGAGTTCGAATTTCGTGAAAATCGGACCAAAATGGCCGCCACTCGTACGTAAATAGTGTAAAAATATGGTATATCAAGGTTGTGAACCCTCTAGAGGTCAGAATTTTGATCCGATTTTGATGAAACTTGAAATACATGTTTATAACCCAAAGATCTGGGTTCCTTTCAAAATTCGCGCATATCGAATCATAACGTCCTGAATTATGTATAACTCTCGACTGTACAATGATAAAATTAAACTTTTACTATAGCAAACTACTTTGCGACTAAAATGGCACTTGGTTCATTTTGGCGGGAAAAAGGGTCACGTGGACAAATAACAATAACGTGGCGACAATGCATGCATTGCACACGGGTGTCGGTGCTACAATGTAATTTTAAAATACCGTTTTATAATGAAAACAATCAATGTTTCGACAGATATTTTGCTTTCATTTTGCCCCTCGTACGTAAATAGTGTAAAAATATGGTATATCAAGGTTGTAGACCCTCTAGAGGTCATAATTTTGATCCGATTTTGATGAAACTCGAAATACATGTTTATAACCCAAAGATCTGGGTTCCTCTCAAAATTCGCGCATATCGGATACTTCCTGACTTATGACCCTTGATTGTACAACAATTTTTGATGAAACTTGAAATACATGTTTACAACCCAAAGATCTGGGTTCCTTTCAAATTCGCGCATATCGGATCATAACGTCCTGAATTATGTATAACCCTCGACTGTACAATGATAAAATTAAACTTTTACTATAGCAAACTACTTTGCGACTAAAATGGCACTTGGTTCATTTTGGCGGGAAAAAGGGTCACGTGGACAAATAACAATAACGTGGCGACAATGCATGCATTGCACACGGGTGTCGGTGCTACAATGTAATTTTAAAATACCGTTTTATAATGAAAACAATCAATGTTTCGACAGATATTTTGCTTTCATTTTGCCCCTCGTACGTAAATAGTGTAAAAATATGGTATATCAAGGTTGTAGACCCTCTAGAGGTCATAATTTTGATCCGATTTTGATGAAACTCGAAATACATGTTTATAACCCAAAGATCTGGGTTCCTCTCAAAATTCGCGCATATCGGATACTTCCTGACTTATGACCCTTGATTGTACAACAATTTTTGATAAAACTTGAAATACATGTTTATAACCCAAAGATCTGGGTTCCTTTCAAATTCGCGCATATCGGATCATAACGTCCTGAATTATGTATAACCCTCGACTGTACAATGATAAAATTAAACTTTTACTACAGCAAACTACTTTGCGACTAAAATGCCACTTGGTTCATTTTGGCGGGAAAACGGGTCACATTGACAAATAACAATAACGTGGCGACAATGCATGCATTGCATACGGGTGTCGGTGCTACAATGTAATTTTAAAATAACGTTTTATAATGAAGACAATCAATGTTTCGACATATATTTTGCTTTCATTTTCTGCCATGTAAATGAAGACACGTAATTTTGGAGGAATATTATTGGCGTAAATGTGAAGCAGGTAGCCTACGGTCGTACGGGTCGGCACGCTTTCAATCTATCGTATTACGAAAACACCTAATTTTTATACGCCCACATTTTCATGTGGACGTATATTGTCGTCGCCACTGTCCGTCTGTCCACAATTGTTTGTGAACCCTCTACAGGTCACAATTTTTATCCGATTTCAATGAAACTTGAAATATAGGTTTATCACCCTAAGATCTCGGTTCCTTTCGATATTGGCACGTATCGGACTGTAACTTCGTGGATTATGGCCCCTGATTGTACGAAAAATCACGTTTTTAGCTTGTGAACACTGTAGAGATCAAATTTTTTTATCTGATTTGGTTTAAACTTAAAATGTAAGTTTATAACCCACAGATCTCAGTTTCTTTTGATATTCGCGCATACCGGACCATAACTTCGTGAATTATTGCCCCTGATTGTACGGAAAATTGCGTTTTTAGCTTGTGGACCCTATATAGAGGTCACAATTTTTATCCGATTTAAAAAAAAAGTTCGAATATATCACCGTTATATCCTAAGGATGGTAGAGTTGGAATTTCGTGAAAATCGGACCGAAACTGCTGGACAAAATGGCCGCCGCTCGTTCGCAAATAGTATCAAAATATTGTGTATCAGGGTTATGGACCCTCTACTGATCACAATTTTGATCCGATTTCGGTGAAACTTGAAATACAGGTTTATAACCTCTCAAAGATCTTGGTTCCTTTCGATATTCGTGCATATCGGACAGCAACTTCCTGAATTATGGCCCTCGATTGTACGAAAAGTCACGTTTTTAGCTTGTTGTTCATCTAGAGGTCACAATTTTTATCCGATTTTAAAAAACGATTGAATATATCACCTTTACACCCTACTGACGATTGACTTCAAATTTGGTGAAAATAGGACCGAAACTGCTGGACAGAATGGCTGCCGCTTGTTCTCAAATTGTATAAAAATATGGTATATCAAGGTTATGTGGACCCTCGAGAGGACACGATTTTGATCGGATTTTGATGGAACTTGAAACATATCTTTATGTCCCAAAGATTTTGGTTCCTTTCGCTATTTGCGAATATCAGATTGTAACTTCCTGGATTATTGCCCCTCTAGAGATCATAATTTTTATACGCCCACATTGCTAGAGACGGTGTATCTATTTGCGAGTGAAATGGGGCCGTCAGATAAGCCCCCCACATGAACTGTTTATGTTCATGTGTATGCAATTGGCCTGTATGAACATAGACTGGTTTACCTCTAATAAAAACAGCAGTGCATTTCCGCAGTTTTGTATTGTTTCTAAATATCCCCTACTTTTTTTGAAAAGTATATTATAGATAACACCCTGAATACATTGTGCG